ACATGGAAAGTATTCGGTGTGTAGTCAATGGTACTAAACCATAGTATCTAGGCGTTTTTCATTTTATTGAACATTTTATGTGGTGATTTTTTTTTGTAAAAACCCATAACAATCCGGAAGAAATTGAATATTTTTTTAAATGCCTGAAGGATTTTGATTAAAACTTAGTATGTTATAGTCCTTTCAACTCTAAACAAAACCGTGCAACCCGCATTGCTGAAAAAATTGTCGTTCAAAAGTTATATTGCAATTTTTGTGATTTTACCACTAAAATATCATATTTTCTCTTACCACTTGCCCATGATAAGGGTTGTTGACTAGCTAATGGGAGAAACGTGTCAGATTGCTGATATCATTATATTGGTTATATTGGTCTTAGTTATTTGTTCTATTGATTAGAGTATACTAATTTGTAAACTTTATTTTAGTAATTTAAATTGGAATGTCAATTTTAATAGATGTGACATTAATTTCCCTCCAAAATATGACGGAAAGGGGCAGGGATGGATTGTTGGCACTTGGAAGAATTTTGAAATGTGTGTAAAAAGTCTTTGTGAATACATTATATAAAGTATAAATGTATATCTATTTCAAGGGCAAAACACTTTCAAGGAATCTAAGCATTTGGAAATATTAACTGCAACCTGTTATTGACTGTACTACTATATATTCTATTTATTTGTATTGTATAAAATTTAAAAATGTTATTTGCTTTAACTTGTCATAGACAAACACAAACCTGCATTTAGTATTAAAATTTGTTGTATTATAACCTTTTCAATTCTGGAATCAAAGAAATGCTTTAAAATAAATGTGTCCTTTAACGATAATCTCTTTAAATACATTTGACCTGTTTGTGTGGATTGTTGGAGAGTGAAAATTTAAAAACGTACGTTTTTATGTCCCTGGCCTTTTACTTCGTAGATACTGGATTTGTAGTTTATTATTATGTGTTTTAATATTTTTTGGGACGGGGGCAACATGTTACACACATTTATTTGGTTTTAAATAGGTTCTAGGTATTTTTTTCGTATTTTTAAAGTCTCGAAATTCACGACCATGACGTGTCCCTAGGGTACATTTTCCAACTTTCACGCTGTTTTTAGACTAATTATTCATGCCGAAATATATAAAGCCATATTTTTATATCATCAATGGTTATTAAACTTACAAAAAAGGAGCATATTATAATTTTATTGTCATTGCAGACTGACTACTATGACAAAATAAGTCTGTCCCTCGATTTGGCGTCACGACCATTTGGGAAAAATTTTCAACTTTGGAGCACGACAGTGGCAAGCCTGGCGTCGATGGAGTCAGTTGGTTTTAGAGACTAGTTCGGGGTGTACGTCAGGATTGTAGTGCCGGTCGTTTTGAGTTGAAAGGAGGAATTACAAGATTAATAAAGGAAAGATTGTGTTTTTTGTAATTTTGGTGTGTCCATGACCGTACGTAGCCATTCGATGAAGTAGACATGGTGTTAATTTTTGTTTATAAGATATTTCAATTGCTAGATTAACCTAGAAGTCCACTTTGTATCCTCGAACATGAGGTGCAGGGCTACCGCCAGAACAGAGCCAAATAACACGTAATTTCACAACCAAAGTTTCACGACCATCGCGGTTTTTTTCACGACCAATCCAGCCTTATGGATTATAGTGTGTTTGGTCGTGACAATAACTTTAGTATAATTGTAAATTGAACAGTTTAGTTCAATTGAAACACATAGTTTTATTATAACTAACAGTATAATTGAAGGATTGTTTGGAAAGATTTAGATTATTCCAGACAATTCACGACCGTACCGCTTGTCCCTGACCATCACGTTTATGATTTCTATCATAAAAATTTCAAAAATTAAAATATCGTCATATTTAAATGTTTTATACACAAAAGAAGCACACCTCTATACAAACATAACGATTTTTCGGGTCTCAGGTAAGTTTTTTGGGAGTAATACAAACTTAAAAAGATTTTATTGGCTTTTTTCTATTTTTTGAGTTTGTTTTATTTTTTTCTAGAAAGACCAAATATACCAAAAGCTCAGTGACCTTTTTATTGTATAATGGTCATAAAAGTAAACTAGTTTATAGCAAAACATAGTTATAAAAATAATATTAACTATTTTAAATATTCATTTAAACGTCCGTTATGGTCGTGACAGGATTTTGTGTTTTTCTACTAAAGATGCTCTTTAAAAAGAAAACTACCAAAGATATTGCGTTACCATGGACATTTTATGAAACTTCAAATGTTAATGAAATAAAAAAAATAATAAAAGTTTTGAAAAAAGGGGGAAAAAATTTGCAAAGTGCTTTTCCTGAAAACGTACGTTTTTAAATTTTCACTCTGGAATTTCCAATTGAAATTTATTACCTTTTACCATTGACTATTTTACATATACGTACCATTTTTTATGTACATACCTACTTTGTATTTGTAAATATATCTTTAAAGTATTACAAAAGGAGTTTAATTTACTGTGTTATTTAAGATAGTCTTTATACTCCCAATTGTTATTTTTTCCCTGCTTGACTTCATAAGTACATTAATATAACTATTCATTACTGTACCGCACCGGTTTGGGGGGGGATTTTGAAATGGTTACTTTGCAGAACAACATTGTAAGTTGTCAGAGCAGATCCCTAGTAGAGTATTCAAATAAAAGACTATGACATTTTAGCTGTGGTTATATCGGCTCTACTCATGGAAAAAATCAGCTCAATATTGGTAAAATAGTTTTCACGTTATTGACATACTCCAAACATTCATATCATAATATTAGTTCCTTCCATCCAAATCATTGACTCGATCATAAATGTAATAGAATTATTAACATGCTAATCTGTTTCCTGGAAATTTCTTTGGGGGAAACAAACACAATACTTTTTTATAAACATTTTGGAAAAAAATAAAGTCAATAAAGTTGATGACTTTTGCAGTTAAAATATAAAATCGCCCTATTTGCACAATACCACAAATTATTTATTAAATTAAAAACATAATCATAACTTTAAACAGTTTTAATTTAATTCAGTTAATTAGTGCTTATACCAGGAAAGTTGTAGGGTAGTTTTGATTTTGTCCATTGTGTATGTTTTTTGGGGTGCTCAGTCCAAATCTGAAGTTTGCTAACAAAAATTCCTGGCGCAACATTGACAAAAATGTGGAAAATTGTATTTTTTTGCAATTTTTGCCTTATAACTCAGGAACAATAAACTTTTTGTAAATAGTATATATTATTAAAATTAAAAGTACAAAAAATTTGCTACAAAATGTACACCTTAGGTGTTAATCTCCGATGAACCGTTAAGGCTCCAGAGCTATTTGAAAATTGGAGCATTTTGTGTTAATTTGAAAATTTCTTGTATTATTCTATCAATGTCATATATTAATTCTATATGCCCAGGTAAAGGTCTTATACAAATCCATATTGAAGTTGTTTAATTTTGTGTTACTGGATCGTTAATCTTTTATTTCCAGAATGGTTTTTATGAACCTTGCCGTTTAAATTTTCCTGGCTAAGATGGTTGTATAGGACAGGCTCTGGCTCATGTTTTAATGCATCAGTTGTGTGTGAGCGTCCGAGCTTCAGAAAAAGCAGATGAAAAAGCTCGGACGCTCAAAACTGATGCATCAAAGAGTGAAAATTTAAAAACGTACGTTTTCAGGAAAAGTACTTTGCAATTTTTTCCCCCTTTTTTAAAAACTTTTATTATTTTTTTTATTTCATTAACATTTGAAGTTTCAGAATGAAAGTTGGAAAATGTACCCTAGGGACACGTCATGGTCGTGAATTTCGAGACTTTAAAAATACGAAAAAAATACCTAGAACCTATTTAAAACCAAATAAATGTGTGTAACATGTTGCCCCCGTCCCAAAAATATTAAAACACCTAATAATAAACTAGAAATCCAGTATCTACGAAGTAAAAGGCCAGGGACATGAAAACGTACGTTTTTAAATTTTCACTCCAAAACGTGTGCCAGAGCCTGTCCCATTAACTTACAACTTTGAGCCAGGATAATTTAAACGGCAACGGTTCATGTAACCATGACATGAAAATAAAAAATTAGCGGTTCAGTAACACAAAAATTAAACAATTTCAACACTGCGGATTTGCATAAGACCTTTACTATCACTCTTGATTATAGTTGTTAAGATAAGTATAAGGTGTAAAATTATAGCAACCCGATTCCTAAAATCGTCCACAGGTTGGGAAACCCTGAACCATAGACTAACAAACACCTAATAATCTATGACTGAACTTAAGCTCTCACTGAGTTTTTTATGATGCTCGCAATCCAGTAGAACCGGATTATCTTGGATTTGTTAAAAAATGAGCAACTGTAAATCTAAAATTTTTGAAATAATATTCTTTAGCTGTTATATAAATACTAATTGGAATATAATCGACTGAAAAGTTTGGCAAAGTTAAATTTTGTTTGCTTACGGCTTACAGTTACTTCCCGAGTGTATCCGATAAACTTTTGTCACATTACATCGTTGCTGTTTTTGGGATCATAATTCATCAACAATGTTCTTTCTCTTTTCGTAGCAAGCAAATTAAATTAGAAGTTTGACAAAATGTTAACTTTTCAGGATAGAGAATATCCACAGTTTTGCTTTGATTATTATCGAAACATTGATCCGTATCAGGGTGGAAGATCCTTATCATTGATAACAAAACTGCAATTATACAATAATCAATGCCCGTATCACAAAATAAATGTACACTAATAAAAACAAAGTACACCGTAAATAAATAAATAAATGTTGTGTTCTTAATCAACGACCATTTTCCGATCTCCAGAATATTCTGAGAAATAAAATAGTTATGAGCATTTGCTTACTCTATGAAATTGAGTTTTTTTCGTAAAAGAACTAAGAAAGAAACATTTCTTTTTCTTTTCTAATAATGTGTGAATTGTCAATGTCATGTCATGTCACTCATGTCATAGTGTATCGTTTATTGTCATATTTTGTAGTTTCCTTCGTACGTAACCTTACCATCCCAAAAACTTTGTTTAAAATACGTATTTAGATTATGAAGAAGTGTTAAGTGTTGATATCTTATTTGTATTGACCATACAAATAATACTATATAGGGCCTAGTAGAATTTCCACTGAAGTGATGAATATTACGTTTATATTTTAGTCATCCGATGAAGGCTAGGCCTACCAGCCAACTACGGAGGCTTAACAGAAAAGACATTAATTTTTTAGACTTTCATTGTGCTGTGCTAGTGAGTGGGTCTGGGTTCTAAACATCAAAATGTACTAAACTTACTAGCCAGTGCCAACAACTTGTTGCATTTTGTGCTTGTGTTATGAATGAAAAGCCATATTCATTTACAATGTAACAGCCTAAATAATGCTGTTTCTTAAGTTTAATGACTAAGAACCAACTCCAAACCAGTGAAACATTACGTTGGTTAGTCTATGGTGAAACTAAAATCTAACTTACACAAATTTAGACTGTTAACTATCAAGGTCTTCAAAGTACTACCAATGCTCAGCTGGATATCTACTAAAGGGGAAAGCCAATATTGTAGTTAGAGCTGAATTAGGCCCGTTTCATTTTGAAATAATGTCCATTGTATCTCCAAGGGCAACACTGAGATGGAAAGAGTGGCTTCCTTTACTCACACAACAGGTTTGAAAATAATTGTTCTATCATTAGCGATAAGTTCCTATTTGTTTTTTACCTAGTACCGGTAAAGGTGATCATGATGTGTGCGTATGGTCTGGTAAATAGTTTTGTGATACTAGGCCTGCGCTATCATATATTATAGGTATCGAATTCGTTAACATCAGCCTGGAACAGAATGCTAGCCTATCCGTTTGGTCAGAAACTGTTCAAATCCTTCATGCCTGATAGAATCTGTTCTATCTGTTCATGGGTGACAGACAGAAGATATCCACTGTCCATTCTATTTTTTGCTGTTGAAGACTGGTGATGGAGATTTAAAAAAAAATATTTGTACCGTAGGTTTTTAAAAGTTAGACAAGATCTCATGAACGAAAAACCGAAATTCCTGCAAATTCTCTTAGTACCTACAAAGCTTTTGCTATTAATTGGTTAGCTTAGGTCATTTTAGCCTACAGTAGGCCCATCCAGCAGGTTCATGCTGCTGTTTTATATTAGCACCTCTTTCCTGTGATCTGTAGGATCACTGTAACTTAACCTTTATTCTTTCCTAAACACTTAGGCTATCTTAGGCCCTAGGCTTGAAGTTTTGATACGAACAACTTTCTAGAATACACATTACTATTTTTTTATTTATTGCCAACAGATTTTACTAACACCAATTTTACAAGTGAATTACCATAAGTTAAAAGTTACATATCAACTGTAACAGTGGCGGCGGTAAGAGCGGGCCAATGGGCCTCCCGGCAAGTTTGTTCGCCGGGCCCCCTCTCCAAAAAAAAAAAAAAAAAAACATTATCACATGCATTTTCACCTAAACTTGACCTTAAGCTTGGCACGGCATCTCCCGAGGCGTCATCAATTTTGTGTCGCGTGATCCTCACGGACTTAAAAGCTTTGACTTTGAATTGGGCATTATTGTAGCCTATTGAGTAGGCCTACTGAGAAGATAGGCCCGAGCTTGATTTTCTGACTTTGTGCTTGATATATCAAGCTTAGGCCAGGCTCTGCTCGGCTCAAAAATCAACAATTAAATATAAAAATCAACAGTTTCCAAAGCAAACTGATTTTGAACCAACCTGATTTGACCCGAGGCTCATAGGTAGGCCTAAGTACCAATTTTTGACCTGACTCAAAGTAAACAAATCTAATGTGCAGCCTCCTAATAGTAGGCTAAGAAATGAAAGAAATAAATATCCTTCTTTATCATCAATGAAGGAACCACGACTGCCGGATCAGTTGTTCCTGAACATCAGCGGTTCAGGAACAGCTGATCTGGCAGTTAGGCGTTCGGCTCGATAGGCTACTCGAGAAAAATCAAATTTTAATTCCCTGAGGAAGCGGGACGTTAATTTTGGTCCTGCGAAATGTCGGAGTAGGGGAGAGGGGGGTACATTTGAACGTGGGGCACATTTGAACAAGTTCAAATTTCCCGCCATAATAGCAGCTGATGAATCTTTTTTCAAGTCAATGTGTAGCTGTATAACCTGTGAATGTCTGTCAGTGATTTCCCTCCAATTTCTTCAACCTTTGTCTGCAGTTCAGAGGAATGTTGGATTTTAAAGGTAAGTTAGAAACTTTATGTTCTCTATTCGTAAGGATTTTACAAAGAGTTGAAATAGTATAGAAGAACATGATTAATACCACTGAAAAGTGTGTTTATTAAGCTATCTGTACATATGTAAAACTTATATTTTACTCAGAGTATAACTGAGATAACCTTACTTTTAAGAAAAAATGTGCTCTGGGGCACATTTGAACAAGGGGAATGGTGTACATTTGAACACAAGTCAAATTGTTACAGCTTACTTATTTCAATGTATTATTATTAATTAAAGCATATAATTGTTGTTCTTATGTTTTGTAGAGCACTCTACACCAGATAGGCCTAACCATGTGGCGCATTCTATATTTAAGAATTACTTACAACCAATAATAGGCCTAGGCCTTCACTCAAAGTCTAATGTTAGAACATAATATTCTCTAAACTGAAACCATGTTGATATTATTCTAACTTATATATATCTAACCTAATACTTATAAAGAACTAATAATTAGACTAAACTCTTAAGCCTATGATAATTTTCTTAAAACTAAAACGAGTTTGATTTCTTTCAGATTGAACTGAAGATGGTCCGTACTTACAAAAGAAAAAATACCCATCCAGAAGTCAATGAAGCGGATGTAGAGGCTGCAATAAATGCAGTTCTTAATGAGAACATGCCTTTACGACAGGCTGCAGCTGTGTATGGCATTAAGCACACCACCCTTTTTTATAGACTGCAAAAAAAAAAGACCTAAAATCGGCCCAGAGCCTGAGGTTCCTGTCCCAGACTGCGAGCCATCGAAGAAGTACTCTTCAAAGTATACCGCAAATCAAGTCTTTGATGAAGAACAGGAAGTGTTATTAGAGCAATACATAGTTTCTTGTTCTCAAATGAACTATGGACTGACGTATCGGCATATTCGAAAACTTGCGTTTGAATATGCAATTCACCTTAATCAATGCCCGGAAAAATGGAAGGAAAATGAAATGGCTGGAGTGGACTGGATGAAGGGGTATATGAAGAGACATAGTTCTCTTTCCCTCCGGAAGCCAGAGAACACAAGCTTGGCGAGAACTCTAGGATTTAATAAGCAGATGGTAGAAGAGTTCCAAACAAATTTGGCAGATGTCTATTCAAAAGTTAAATTTGATCCTGACCGAATCTATAATTTAGACGAAACGGGCATAAAAACTGTTGTCCAAGCTCCCAATGTTGTCGCCAAAAAAGGTTTAAAGCAAGTTGGACAGGTTGTGTCAGGCGAGAGGGGTAATATGGTCACAATGTGTGTTGCTGTGAACGCCGCAGGTAATACTATACCTCCAGTCTTTATATTTCCGCGTGCAAGAATGCACGATACCCTCATGGTTGGATCTTTAGCAGGGAGTTTGGGATTGGTCAATTCACCAACAAGTGGGTGGATAAATGGAACTCTATTTTTGAAAGTGCTACAACACTTTGCTAAACACACACAGTGTTCGAAGGAATCACCAGTTCTTTTATTAATGGACAATCATGAATCGCATTGCACGCTTGATGCAATTTTGTTTGCCAGAAAAAATGGCATTATTATCTTAACAATCCCTCCTCATTGCAGCCACCGTCTCCAGCCACTGGACGTATCCATTTTAGGACCCTTTAAGAGACAACTAGCTGTGGTACAAAATAACTGGCTAGTAAACAATCAAGGGAGAAAAATCACTATTCATGACTTGGCGGCCCATGCATCACAAGCCTTTGACTTAGCATTCACTCGTAAAAATATCACAGAAGGTTTTAAAAAATGTGGAATTTTTCCTTTCTCAACCACAGTGTTCACAGACGAAGATTTCGTGACAGTAACAACAGAAATAAGTAGGCCTAGGCCTGAAGATTCGCCAGTAACTGAAAGTGTAACAGTTACGCCTACCAATCAACAGCAGGTTGACTTAAACAGAGCTAATCCTCAGCCTACTCCGTCTACCAGCAATAATGAACTTAATTCCGCTCAGAGCTCTCCAGGACTGAAATCTGCTTTGCTACCTAAAACAACAGTGTCTCCTGGACCTGAAGTTGTGCGGCCTTTACCAACACTGTCAACATTAACTCTTACAAAAACAGGCAAGATTTCTAAAAGAGAGAAAGGGAAATCTCGAGTCTTAACCTGTACGCCAGAAAAAAACCGAATAGAGCAGGAGGCAGCAAGAAAAGAAGAAATGAAAAAGCTAAAAGAAGAAAAGAAAATGGCACGAGAGAAAGCAATTAAGAGGAAACTTGAAATGCCTAAAGGAAAATGGGGGTTAAATTCTAAACAAAAATCCAAGAAATATGAGAGTGATTCAGCAAGTGAAAATGAAGATGATATTTTTTACATGGAAAGTGAAGATTCTTCAAGAGATGATGTGTTTTCTGATGCCGATTCAGAACCTGATCTCCAAGACATGAAATCAAAGATTAATCCTTTGCTGGAACATTATTATGCTGTGTTTTATGACTTGACGTGGTACATTGGAAGGGTTATTGACTTTCCAGATGAGGGACTTGTTAAAATGAAGTTTTTATGTCGAGGGCTTGGCGAATTGTACTACGAATGGCCTAAACATGACGACATTCAAGTAATTGAAAATAAGTATGTATTTTATGGCCCCATTAGACTAACAGGTTCCGGACCATTCCAGATCGACGACAAGTGCAAGAGAAGAATTACAATGAAATATAAGTCCTTAAAAAAATAAGTGTTTTCAATTGACCAGACTTAGGAACCAATGTTTGTGGTTTTATTAAAAACTATTTGTTACTTTAATTAATGTGAATTAAGTAGCCTTTATAACTATGCCATTTTTATAGTTGAAATTACATAATAAAGTGTGTGTTCAAAACTACCCCTGGTTTGTTCAAATCTGCCCCCGGGATGTTCAAAGGTACCCCCAGGTGGGGTACATTTGAACACTTTGCAAGGGTTAAAAAATTATTTTTTTCCCTTAGAAAATATTATTATATTTATTTGTACAACCAATATTAGATGTATGAAACCTTGAACTATATGTACAACCAGTTGTTGATGTCAAATAACCTTTTTTAAAAAATACAAAAAAAAATTCTGAAAACCGTTCAAATGTACCCCCCTCTCCCCTAAATAGAAGGACGATTTTTTTATATATGCGTGTATGTTGTGTGATTGTGTCTTCGTTGTGTTTTGTGTTTCATTTTGACGAGTCCAGGATTAACATAGTAAGGTGAGTGAAGCCCAAGCGGATGGATGTTTGTGACAAGAAACGCGTGTGACAAAAAAAATACTAGCAAACAGGGTTGAAATTTGGTATGATGATAGCTCACACTCCCGATTAACATATAGACATATTCTTATCTCAAAAATACTTTTGGGCTCCGCCCCAGTGGCTCTGGAATTTCCCATGTTAACCTTATTAGTGTTCATATTTAAAATTAATTACCTAAAGAATTTTGTCAGCTCTTTCAACTGCACAAGTTGGTTCTATGAGATTTAATAGCATAAATAGCATATACCATATGATATTAATAGTTATGATATTAAATAGCGTAGTATATCATATGAATATTAAAAGTTATGACAGGGACGTATTTAACTATCTGCCGCCTCTAGGCAGGGAATAAGTTAGCCGCCCCCTCCCCCCACCATCGTCAATGCGCTCACTGACCACAATAAAATTACCCCAATAACAACATGCCCTGCCAGCTGTTTTTGTAGAAAAATAATCGGCAATTGCATCAATTTACATGGATTTACATCAATAAATCCAATAAAATTTTGAACCCTCTTACGGATGTTTTTCTTTCCCCATTTTTATGCAAAACGCGATTATGTTTTGCATACATGGAATGCAATGTTGTTTTGTCCAATCAGGAAAGTCATAATCGCTATACATTTGGACAAACTGATTGATGATCTTCTTCTCTAGTTTCTTTTAAAAGCCTTATAGCGGAGGGATTTTATTCGGTTGGACATTTGGACATCAAGTTCGAGTTTAATATCATTTTTGTTCTCATCTTAGCTGGGGTTTTCTTTATTTTTCAAGTCTTGCCTTGACACTTTTAATATAGGATTTATGGTGTAGGCCTACAAGCTCATCAAGGAAACTATCTTCAGTGATTAGATTCTTTGAAAATTTTCTTAAACTGTGTCGCATCCCATAACTGCAATAAGGATTTTATACTTACCCTAGTCCTATACGCCAATCCCGTATGAAGGACGGGTACTCTGCTAGTATGTTATGTTGTAAAAGGTATTTTCATCGACTCGGTAAATCCCGAGCAAGTAACTATAATAACAGTGAAAGCAAAGTTGGAGGGAGTAAATTAAGATTTATTGTTTACATTTAAAATTTTTTATGTTTGCTTTTATACATGGTAGTTCGTATAAAATTATAGCAGCCGCTAGTAATCTCTCCCGTGAACTTATGTTACGCACCAACCATGTGTATGGGCAGTCTAGGAAACCACTGACGGCGGTTGCGTTTTGAGACCTGGATAAAAGCCACAGCGCATCTATTACGCGTAGGAAACCATAGCCTTACTCTTCAGGTCTTTATGTTGAATGGCACTGGCAACAGTGTGGTCTCTTTGTACCATCCTTTCCTCCAAGTGTTAGTGGCTGTCAATGTAGTTTTGTACAATTTAAAATATGCTACCATCTGAACCAAACCATTGTCAACTTCACCTAACTAAAGTTAGCCTACACTGATGTAGACTTAAGGAAGTAAGTTTATTTTTATACAGAGTGTTTCACAAAGATAAGTGTTAGGCTAAGTTCACAAGCGTAATCGCCACTCATCCCACACTCATCTCCATTCATACTTGGCTTAAAATACCTACATTTGTATGGTCGCCATTTCAAAGAAAAGTATTAAAGTCAGGCCTAGTCTGGCCAGGGCGGCTGGTCGGCGATCCCCAAGGGCCTCCGGCTCAAGGGGGCCCCAAAAGCCAAAAAATCAATTCAAAAAAAATTTAGTTATGATAAAAAAATATTTTGATTAACTGTTTCACAGCGACGTAGTCTTGCAAAAACAATTTTAAATAAACAATACTCTTTTTTTAAATTGAATTACAGTTAGGGGTAGCCCCTAAGTACAGTGATAGTCACTCGGTACTAGAGGATAGTCACCGATCTCACTGCAACGCACCGTTCGAATCAGCTCAGTGCCCAGCGCTACAACAACAACTGGTGGCGTTCAATCGGTGCAGTGGTTTCAGTCATTACAAAGAAAATTATCGAATATAATTTTACTTTAAACATTGGAGTTTTCCCGCTTGATTCCTATTGTTTGTTGTCATTTGCATTAATATTTTGTTACTTTGGTATAAAACATAATAGAATGACAACATTTACTATTAATTAAAAATTTTTAGTTTATTACATGACTGCAAGATTTAAATTATTCAGTAGGCCTAATGTCTCTAACTCAGTATAACAAATATTCCTGTTTATTTATTACCTGGTTTTTAAAACAGATTTTACTACAGGCATTAAAATCTAAATCATCAGTATATAAAACACAGTGTCTTGGCAATTTTATATTTTTTTAAACAACAAAAATAAATGCAATTACATTTTATGTATCATCCCTATAAACTGTTCCCAATTCCTATCCGTCAGTTTATCTACAACTGATTTTATTCGACCAGTCAGCCTCATCTCAACACCAAAAGGTCGAGTATGGTGTTACGACTAGTTTAATCACCGACGACTGTTTCCAGTCATTCCTACGTACCGTAGTGGGTTATGACGTATTGTTTGAAAGATTACTAACGCAAGTAGTGGCTCAAGTAAAATAAAAATGGATAGGAAATATTTCAAAATAAAAACAAATTAAAGTCAAACTGTTTGAACTTATGGTTAGCAGGTTAGCTGGTTTCAGTTCCGATTCTGCTAACAATGAGAAGTCGCAAACAGGCAGGCGGAAATCATCAGAAGTTTTTTGTAAGCCTTACAACGTTTAAATTAAAATATTTTTGATTATTTATGTTTGTCTTTGTTGCTGAAGTACAACTATGGAGTAAAGTGTGTGATAAACAGTAAATGTGGTCCATTCATAGATGTATTCAAAATTCAAAAGTGGTACGTGATATGCTTTTTTACCATGTATGGCAAAAACTCCAAGAACTAGGTTTTGGTCTTATTTTTAAATTTAAGACTTAAAACAATTATAAGAATAGGCCTTTAAATTTGGCAGCTGTAGAGGTGAATAGAAATACGAGCAAATTTTATATCAAATTTAAATTGATTGATACCTTGGAATTAAATTTATAAATACAAAGATTTTAATCTATGGAAATTTAGCAATTATTAATTTAATCAAAGTTATCAAAAACGTTTAATCATTTAAAATCACCTTAGGCCCCTTTTATGCACCTGCGACATGCAGCAAACATATATGCTAACTAATTGTTGCCGTGAGAGCACCCCATGGTCCTTGTTTTATTTCTGGCTGGGGGCCTCAAATCAACATCTAGCCGAGGGCCTCCAATTAAGCCAGACCGGGCCTGATTAAAGTATAAAAGTATTAAAGTACCTATGTATAAAAATACCTTATTAATACAGAACTTAAAACAAATGCTTTTTTACTGAGGTAGTGATGGGGAAAGACTTCACAACGTTTATGGCCATCAATGGCAGGCCTACTTAGGCTAACTAAAAACAATAATCCTGGTAGCCTTGTAAGGTGCTATGGCGCGCCGGGGTCACGGCCTTCCTATCTGAGGCTCTCCTGACTACGCTCCTCTGCCGTATCGCCTTACAAATAAAATGCTCGGAATCGCTCGAGTCGAGCTGGGAACCTCCAAGGTCCTTCCGCTACTCAATTTTGAATCAAACGTCTTTATTGTCTGTTAAAGCTCAGAGTGACACCTCACCACAGGGGGTCAACGGTGTCATCACACTCATCATCGCTTTAATGATCACTTTTAAAACAATTGCCAACGCTGGGTTGTTCTCGTGTGTCTCGTGCCAGGCTAATTCGCCGGTCTTAATCAGATTAACCGATGCAGTATGCTAAAATGTCACCCTAATTGCCAGGCTAACTCGCCGGTCTTTCTAAAGTAAAAATGATTAAATAAACTAAACTAAATTCCCTACTGGCCAGGCTAACTCGCCGGTCTTTCTATCATACAACAATTCAAATAAATAAAATAATTCCCTACTTGCCAGGCTACTCGCCGGTCTTTCTAAAGTCAAATTAATTATGTAAACTAAAATAATTCCCTACTGGCCAGGCTAACACGCCGGTCTTTCTAACAACCTACAACAATTTAATAAAATAAAATAAAATCCTACTTGCCAGGCTAACTCGCCGGTCTTTCTAACCTACTACAATTTAAATAAAATAAAATAAAATCCTACTTGCCAGGCTTACTCGCCGGTCTTTCTAACCTACAACAATTTAAATAAAATAAAATAAAATCCTACTTGCCAGGCTAACTCGCCGGTCTTTCTTAAGTAAAATAATTAATAAACCAAAATATCTGAAATATAACTGCAAGGGCTTTACTTCACAAATAGTCTAAATTACACTTACAGCACTACTCGACTTGAGATTGAAGAGGGCCAACACCAGAGAAACTAAACTGGGATTTCAGTTGGGCTTCTTCGCTATTTGACTTTGATCATCTCAATTACTGATTTTCACTGTCCTCGGACGGCCAGCGGCTCTGGTTTTATCAGCCGCAGGAGTAGCGAGCTCCAGCGGTGATATCACGGATTACTTCCGTGTTCAGCGGCCGCTGTTATCGGGGTTGACCCTTGTCCCCGAACCAGCTTGTTGTCCGCGCCGCTAACACCTTTTGCTTACACTAACGGTTTTAAATATCAACTTAGAGCTGGTCAACATTTACAACCGTTACAGCCTACCTAGTTTTTTCAATCCTAGTTTTAATTTTTAGAACTGAATCTTAAGTAGTACAAAATAGCCTAAATGAGCTGTGTATAAGCCTACATACATTTAAGAATTATAATTGGTAACCTATCTTATTTTTCTTTGTTTCAGCAACGTCTTCGCAACCTAATACAAATAATTGGATTCAATGTCAATCCCTTTGAGAAATGCACTCATTTAGTAAGAGGAGTGGGTAAATTGAGCTACTATTACACATTACATCTGACAACAATGTCAGCTCCATTTTATACAAGTGAAAAACTTGAAAGTGATAATCCTAAATGGGCGGATATTGAGATCAGCCAGGCAATTGGTCCTGCCACAGGTGAGTTAGAAACTTCTGTACAGGTTAAACAAATTAGGATTTATAAAATATTTATTTCTCTACAATTATCCATCTCTATTCACTATTGTAAATTGTTTTTGTGTGTCTTATTTTGTTATCAATTAGGTCTTAGAATGACTCTCGCATGTTTGTGGAAAACGCCTTGCACCAGCCTTGACTACGCAATTTCATTAATTTATTGCAGGCTTTTAAAATTTGACATAAATAGACTCTTGATAATTCGAAATTGGTGGGCCAAGCATATAAATTTGAATTATCAAGAGTTTTGAATTATCAAGAGTTTGATTTATCGGGAGAAAAATAAACCATTCGAATTACAGAGAGTTTGTTTGTTTAATACATACAAAGGTACAGCACGTTACAATAAAACATCATACCGTATTTTAGTACACTTTTAAACAATCAACGGCTTATTTTTCAGTTACTGTAGTTGCAAAGAAATCTGTTATTTAGCGCTAGATATATTTCGCCAATAGCTGAACTATCAGCTGTCGACAACTACGTTTGTGCTCAAGGAGATGTCGCGCAATCTAGAGATCGGATTGCCAACTTAGAAAAACAAGTCAGCGAACTAACTCAGACTACTGCCCTAACTAAAAAAACATCAAAACGTCCAACACTAGCCTACCATGGGAACAGGATGTACTGTACTGTATAGTTTCCTGTTATAACAGGAAGAGATCACTTCGAATTATAGAGTGTTTTACCGACTTAACTTCGAATTACTGCGTGACTTTGATTTATAGAGTGTTTTTTCGACGAAACTTTGAATTACAGCATGACTTCGAATTAAAGAGTGTTAACCTACGAAACTTCGAATTACTGAGTTACTTCGAATTATAGAGTGTTTTTCCGACGAAACTTCGAATTACTGCGTGTTACAAATTGACCTGCCCTCTATTTGGACTTTGAAATACCGAGTGTATCAAAATGCATGGTAAAAATTTGAAATATTGAGAGATTCTCTAGGGACTGAGCCTTCATTTTGAATTATCGAAAGTTTTGAATTATCAAGTGTTTGAATTACCAAGAGTGGACTGTAAACACATTTTTGAATATTATTTTTTGTAGCAACACATAATAAGATTTACGCCACACTACATTATTTTGACGAACTTCCCACGCAAGGATTTAGTCCAGAAAACAGCTGTTTGCCGCCAGCTTATTCGAATGGGGTTTCATTGCGTAATACTGTTCTGCAATGAGTTTTACCGGACACCAATCAGCTGATTATACTGTATTTGCGTGGCAATGATTGGTTATAAACAAAAATATAACCTCTCTTAGAGGTTATGACTGGTGATGTTTAGTCCTTTAGTTGGTGGAAATATATAAGGATTTGTACGAATTAAGTAGTATGGCGTAAACTATCGTACGTAACTCGTCCAAAATGTGTTTACCGGACTCGTATGGTAATCCCGTACTCGACTTCGTCTCGCACGGGAACGACCACACTCGTCCGGTAAACACTTATTTTCAGGACTAGTAACGTAATATACTATTGTGCTTTTACCCTCAAAACATATTTTGCAATCTCTTTCTTTAAAGCATTTTTTTACAGTAGGCCTAGAGCTTTTAAATACTGACAAGACAAGTGCCACTATGTTGAAGCTTATTAGGCCTATTAGCTTTGAAGAACATTAAGAAATACAGTAAAACTAAATTTAAATCCCATAGCTTCATCTTATATATTAAAAAAATTTGGTTTTTCGTTTCCGAGTTCGTTTGGCTCTTCTACCCGACCGATTTTCATGATTGAGGTCTCGAATTGTAGGTATGCACGCACAGATTTGCCAGCAAGCATCGGCATAAATGTATCTAAAATCCCACTCGACATACATGTAAACGAAATTTGCTCCCCATGTATTTCTTATGGGAGTTAAATTTGGTTTTTCTTTGCCGAGTTCGTTTGGCTCTTCTACCCGACCGATTTTCATGATTGAGGTCTCGAATTGAAGGTATGCACGCACAGATTTGCCATCAAACATCGGCATAAATGTATCTATAATCCCACTCGACATATATGTAAACGAAATTTGCTCCCCATGTATTTCTTATGGGAGTTAAATTTGGGTTTTCTTTGCCGAGTTCGTTTTGCTCTTCTACCCGACCGATTTTCATGATTGAGGTCTCGAATTGAAGGTATGCACGTACAGATTTGCCATCAAGCATCGGCATAAATGTAACTATAATCCTACTCGGCATATACGTAAACGAAATTTGCTCCCCAGGTATTTCTTATGGGAGTTAAATTTTGTTTTTCTTTGCCGAGTTCGTTTGGCTCTTCTACCCGACCGATTTTCATGATTGAGGTCTCGAATTGAAGGTATGCACGTACAGATTTGCCATCACCCATCGGCATAATTTGATTCGTTTTTTGAATTTACGTTAACTTCATATTAAGATGTATTTCACCAGTTATAATTATATAATCCTATATATTTTGTTCTAAGAACCTTCAGTGAAATATCAGCTTTCTTTTATGCTATTAGTTATTCAAATCGGACCAGTTTCAAGCAAACGCAAGGTGAACAACGAACATAAAAATTATTTTTCATAAGGGATTTCCGTGATTACAAATCAATAGCTTCAGTATTGTTCATGTTTTTTAAAAGTTTTAGACTCAAAATAATAAGTAAATTATAGGCTTTAATTTGAGCTACTGATCGTTTAAATCAGTTAAGCTCAAGATACTGTATTACTCAATTAAAAATCATAAATTTCTTGATTATTTCTTGGATATTATATTTATTTTAACGCTGCGGAGCAGCATGGGTCGTCTAGTATTCTTTTAAAAGTCATAAAATTTGTTTTTCATACTAAGCAATAGCTTACATTTTACTGATACATACACTTTTCTTACCTTCCATGTTGCAAAAAGTACTCGTAATCTAATTCTTTTTTAGAAAGGGAATAAATCTGAAACGTACCTAATATACAATCAAACAAATGGGAATTTGTTTAGCTGGCAGGTTTGCTGCGGCGGGGGTGAGCTCATTTTATTGTGTTTGCCAGGGGTGGTGATCAGGCTGTGGTGCCACTCAGTGACTGGGGAGGAGAGTACGGAGCTGGTAGTGGCTGTATGGGGCATCTACTTCAGCGGCTTGGCGTACATCGGTCCAAGACTTGTCACCTCGGACCCGTCACAGTTCCACAGCAACACGCTCATATTGCACATGCAGGGTGGATACTTCACAGCACCTCACTGCTTCAAGGAGCCCAGAGTCGAGCCTCGACGCGTAGTCTCAGTGCTCATGACCCCAGTAGAGTTACGTCAGAGCTACTCCGTCAGCCGACTGTTGAGGTGAAGAGAATTTAGTAATCAAAGCAGTATTGTCGAGATTCACTCAACCTTGGGGAAAATGTTGTATTTTTATATAGTGTTTTTGTCTTGGTTGGTCAATTATTAATTTTTATGATTTTTATTACTGGAATTTCACAGGTGTTTATAAAGGCTATTGCGCGGTAGAAGAGAAAAGTTTCTAACATGAAACAACTGTTCACATGAAGCCTCATTTCGTAAGATAGTGAAGATTTAAAAATGTGTAGTAACTTCTAAATATTTTTGAATAATGATAATAATAATTAATAAAAATTATTAGTAATTGTGTGTTTTCCATATGGGTTTTTGTGCACAGTTGTTCCTCGATTATCTGACAGATATGGGGCTGGAAGTTAGATTACCGAAATGGTGGTTTTGTTGATAATTCATTTGATTAAGATGAAATATAACTAAACTAGGTTGTATTTGGGACAGTATAAAAACACTATGTTTTGAAGTTGATGAAACTAAGCACTACGCAGTATGTGTAAGCCCAATTTCATTTGATTAAGATGAAATATAACTATACTAGGTTGTATATGGGACAGTATAAAAACACTATGTTTTGAAGTTGACGAAACTAAGCACTACGCAGTATGTGTAAGCCCAATTTCATTTGATTAAGATAAAATATAACTAAACTAGGTTGTATTTGGGACAGTATAAAAACACTATGTTTTGAAGTTGACAAAACTAAGCACTGCACAGTATGTGTAAGCCCAATTTCATTTGATTAAGATAAAATATAACTAAACTAGGTTGTATTTGCGGCAGTATAAAAACACTATGTTTTGAAGTTGACGAAACTAAGCACTGCACAGTATGTGTAAGCCCAATTTCATTTGATTAAGGTGAAATATAACTAAACTTGGTTGTATTTGGGACAGTATAAAAACACTATGTTTTGAAGTTGACAAAACTAAGCACTAAGCAGTATGTGTAGGCCCAATTTATCAAAACTAGCCACACAATGACAGTACATACAGAATCCTATAGTGCAGAGAGAGTTGTATTTATGTCACCATGGATTTGTTTTGCTCCTACCGATTAAAAACTGCCTGCTACTACATCTAACTAGTACATCTAAGCCCCTGGACTAAGCTAGGTACTGTAAGCTGGGCATTTTTCCAAGGCAGTCCATATAAGAAATGTTTTTTTTTTAATTGCCTGTTAAATGTGTGTTCAGGCTGCATTCACTCCAGCAAGCTATCAAGCAACATTCAGTTGCAGCTGCTTCTCTTAGAGAGAGGATCTCGGACGGAAGTTTGAGTGGGAGTAGCAGTGAAGGAAAGGTACTGTAGCCTAAATAATTCCTTTTCATATTCACTCTTCACTACTTTTGCAGTAACTATTCTATTGTAATGCCAATAACCACTATTATAATACTGTTCTTGCAATTCCTATGCAATATAATATGATTGAGGTTTAGATGCTTAGTTCACTCTTTTAATGATCTATTTTTTTAATAAATTAGGCATGCATAAAAATTGTGTCTTAGCAGATCTAACATTTTAAGAGAGAACTTCTTATCATGCTTCAGCATGGATAAAAACTAATATGTTTTGTTGAACCAACATATAAAAATCTATTTAACCACCTAAAATAAAAGTAAATAATAGCTTACATATTTTTTTACACCCTTAGAGTCAAACAAATGTAAGGGGAAGTTCTACACCTTGAGCTTGTTAAATACTAATTGCTTACTATTTCTGTTTGCAGACAAATGGAAAAACATGTTGACTGGTAACAGAAAGAAATACATTGAAACATTACAAAGAGTAGATGGACTGTCATTAGGCCTACTAGTTTTATTATGTAAAACATTTTTAAATAATTAAATAGGTATAATATTCAAACAAAATTGTGTACAGTTATATCAGAATGTGAGTATGTCAGCAGCATTGGTACAAAGGTTTACACAGTTTTTCTTGAGGAAGAACATTTTTAGGGTCAAAATATACATTATCAGAAGTAAAGCCTAATCTTCAAGCACTATATATATTTACTGCATAAACTTTCTATCGACCTTGTCAAAATGTTTTTCTATCACATCTTCATTTAGGCTCATTAAACTGTGTGTGTGTAGGAGAGCGCCATGTTGCGTCGGGTGTTACATCGTGCCAAGCCTACAGGTGCAACACCACGACTACATCAACAGCTGACAGCTGTGAAACGAGAAGTGGAGGAGGTGAGGTTCAGAGTACATCTGCTGACTCATGAGAGGGATAAGAAGAAGTCAGCCTTGCGCAGGCAGCTGGAGGACAAGAGTAAACTTACCGATCGAATGTTGGACGAAGGTGAGGCTTGGACGTCTGGTCAAAAAGTCATAAAGATTCTAACTTACCAAGATAGGGTATTGTAAACACAAGTGTCATGTAGTTCTTCTTTGGTTATGTTGAAACTTTGACTTTAGGTTACTGAAGTAGACATCCCATCTATAAGGCATATACGGGATGGACCAGCTGTAGCCTATTTTTATCCAAAAAGAATTTTGTTGAATGACATACGCACAGAGTGTGATACAGTCTTGCATTCTTTTTTCTCCAGGTTACGACGTTTTTGGTCAAGATAGCTGTAGGCCAGGGTTTTAAGGATTTTGTGATTGATAAGCTTACCTTACTGATGAAAATAGTTGAAAACCACAAATAAACACACAAACACAGAATTTTCAGAGCTACTATATCGGTAGTCAAGTCTTTCAGGTTCTTTAGGTTGTAAAAAGATACAGAGAAAGACTATACCTACTACTTGTTTTTATTACTAAGATAGTTGATGTTGCAAAAACGATGTTAGGCCTTTAGCTTACAAAAAGTCGTTCCATCAGGTTAAGTTGGTGTATTCAACAGAAATCAGTGATTTAGATTAGCGAATTCTGTCAGTGGCTCAATTAAACTATGTCAATTTTGACTCTAAAATTGGCAACAACTTGAACAACTTTAGAAGCTGGAATGTCCATTTTTATGAATATTAGTCAAAGGTTTTGCTAAAATTGCCAAGCAAGGACACAATACTTGTTTTAACTGACACTTTTTGGAGGTTTCGCAAACCACCTAGTGGAACGATTAGGTTTGTTGCTTAAGAAGGTTGATTAAATCATAGGTAGCTTAAAAGAAGATTTCAGATTTAGAATTGATATAAAATAATTAATAATTTTTTTGTAAATTTTAAGTGCCGATTATTATTTGTTAATATGTTTTCTATTTAATAATCATCATGGTTATGAATTATATTATTCTCTACCTTAAAGGACCTTGAACATATTCATTGCTCTATTCTGATAACAAAAAAATAAATAAATAGGGTTGAAAATATGTCTATATTGAGTTCCTAAGTTAACATATAGCAATCAGTAATCATCTTTAACCTTCTGTCGGGCGCATTGATTTTCAAACACCAAAGGGCGCTCACGGATGTTACCTCCGGGAGTACAAAAACTATACAATGATGAGTAAAAAACATTTTAATAGCAATAAAACTCTATGAAAAACATTTATTATGAGTTATTACACTATTACTTAAGTTAGTTAGGTATTAGAAAGAAAATGTTATAAACAAATTAAAATACGTAAGTGTTGTGGATAAAAATGATTAACTTTTTGTTCTTATACAGTCGTATATTAGAAAACAAATTTTAATATTCTATGGCATAAAAACACGTAAATGGTCTAATAAAAATAATAATTTTGTACAAAGACAATCCATTCAATTAAAGCTCTTACACAAAAATTGCATCAGTGTATGGCATAAATATACCAATGATATTATGAAAAAGATTATTATATCAAGGATAACTTACTTTATCCAAGCTTTTTAGAAAAAATTGCAATGGTGTTTGAAATAAAACACCTATTGTCTAATGCAAAAAATAATTTGTTAGAAGACTACTCATTTTGTCAAAGCTCTTTTTCTTGAAAAAAAAAGGTTTCCAAACTCATGCACCATTAGTTCTTTCTACTAAATGTTGTTCCTTGTGTATTCCCTTTCAACACTAGCCAACAATCTCACAATTAGTTCTGCATACATTTTGTAATATCGCTAATAAGGTCAATAAGGTCAAACACAAGGGCGCACACGGAACTAGGCTCCGGGAAACCTGTAGCGTCACAGGGCGCTCTCGGAAGCTACTTCCAGTAGCGACGCGAACCACCCCCCCAAGGTCGACTGACAACTGGGAAAGGGGTAAGAGAATATAAAACCGATTCCGCAAAAGAGGTTTGTGAGGTAAATCAGGCCACAGCCCTGCACACATACTATGGATTTTATAACGAAAAAAGTAGTGACCCGGAGGTAACTTCCGTGATGCGCTCGATGGAAGGTTAACTAATATTATTTATTTCAGATTTAGAATTGGTGGAAAAGAATCGGATGCTTCACAAAGAAATGGAACGTCTGAAAGATCTTAAACGTGTTTCTATTGATGCCAAAGAAAATCTGTTTTCTGTCAACCAAATGCTGTTAGCTCTGAGACGAAAGCGCATTTCAGAGTTAAATTATATATACCCCATCAGTCAGGTAAGAAAAAGCTAACATGCAAATGAAATTTAAAATCTTTATTTCTTACACTAACCTGGCTTTATTCATTGTAATAGTTTTTGATTGTTTTTACAACATTTAAATATTTTTCTGTAAATTATACAGGGAGCGGCAGAAATATCTGACGGTTTTCAAACGAGTACAGTCCGGCAGCCGAGTGGAGGGGGGTGGTGGGGAGAGGCTCATTCTCAAGGCCAAGTGACCCCATTTCAGTTGCCATGGAGCAGTGGACCAGTATACATCGCGCGTTTGCCGTTGAGGCGTTTTTTAAAAATGGCGATTCTGTTGTTGGTACGCAACGTAAGTTTCGTAGGCATTTTAATGTGGCTCTTGGGGAACCTATCCCATCCCGAAACACCATGAAATTGTGGGTGGATACGTTTAGATCACAGGATCAACTGCAAAACGTAGGCCTACAGGCCGTCCAAGGGCAGTGAGGACGCCGGAGAACGTGGAGCGAGTGCGACAAGCTGTGCTAACGAGCCCGCATCGTCCGGCGCGTAGACAAGCTGCTGCTCTTGGCATGTCTGATCGCTCTATTCGACGAATTTTGCACTCAGACCTTCACTTTCACCCGACGATTGCTATTTTATATGGGTGAAAGTGAAGGTCTGAGTGCAAAATTCGTCGAATAGAGCGATCAGACATGCCAAGAGCAGCAGCTTGTCTACGCGCCGGACGATGCGGGCTCGTTAGCACAGCTTGTCGCACTCGCTCCACGTTCTCCGGCGTCCTCACTGCCCTTGGACGGCCTGTAGGCCTACGTTTTGCAGTTGATCCTGTGATCGTAACGTATCCACCCACAATTTGATGGTGTTTCGGGATGGGATAGGTTCCCCAAGAGCCACATTAAAATGCCTACGAAACTTACGTTGCGTACCAACAACAGAATCGCCATTTTTAAAAAACGCCTCAACGGCAAACGCGCGATGTATACTGGTCCACTGCTCCATGGCGACTAAAATGGGGTCACTTGGCCTTGAGAATGAGCCGCTCCCCATCACCCCCCTCCACTCAGCTGCCGGACTGTACTCGCTTGAAAACCGTCAGATATTTCTGCCGCTCCCTGTATCTATTTTAAAATTAGTTTTAAAATACGTTACTAATAAGTTTAACTCTATGTATAATATTATATAGTATTATTTATTAAAGTTACAACAGTCATAGAATTAAGTAGTGTTACTTACCTGCACCTAAATTGAATAGTTAATGTATATTATTTGCAGTAAGATGAAGTGTTTTAAGTTGAGAATATTACAAAATTCTGTTCCATTAGTTCTTACCCCAGATCGGGAAAAATAATTCTGTTCTGTGTTTTTAGTTTTTTCCAAGTTTATTGATTTTAAAAAATCTGAGCGACTTTTACAACATATTAAGGGTTTTGTGAGAAAGTTTTGCATATAAATAAGCCAATAATAATAAAAGACTGGACCCAGTAAATTTCAAATCAATAGAATAGTTTTCATCATCCATTCAAAAATATGTGTGTAACAATTTGTAGTATGGATTATGATATGAAAAAAATAATTTAGTGCTTGTATATTGCACTTTTATCAGTAAAACTGCCAGATTTGGATGTATTCATTGCAAAGCTAATTTATACTCAATGTAACACTAAGCCTCTTGTTGATCTAATTTGATGTTTTTTTTTTCAGATTGGAGACAACAAGTTTGCCATCTGTGGAGTCCATCTGCCCAACTCAGAAGATTTTGCTGGACATGATGAGATTATGATCTCAGTAGCGCTGGGTTTTGTCGCTCACCTGGTCCAGATGATTGCGTATTTCTTGCACGTTCCTCTCCGTTACTCCATCGTCCACGCAGGCTCTCGCAGTAAGATCATCGACCATATCACTGACAAGATACCTGATAAGGAGAGAGAGTGAGTACCATTTTATCTCTTCATATCTTTAGAATGCCCACAAACTCAGTTGAAACAATAGGCTCTTCTACCAAGTTAGTGAAGGTTTAAATTCCAAGGTAGTTTTATTCCACTAAAGTTTTGTTCATTCAGTTGGGTAGGGAGTTGAATTTATGGTGTGTAAAATGAGGTTTGGAAATTGAAATTACAAAACCAAACACTTCAAAGACACTGTATTGTCTTTGTGGCTATTCACAACCCTTTAAGCTATAATTGATTACCTTGAAGAAGTGCTTGATTTTTAGGATTCAAGACACTGGAAGTAAAACATACTGAATGCTTTAAACTTTAAATCCCTATTTTACATCCTATATTATTCACTTTATTCTCTTTTTTTAATAGTTCAACACATTTTTGTGCAGAGAGAAGCTATGGAACTAAGTTTTAATTCCCACCAAATCAAGGCAAAAAGTCCTACATTTTTTGTATCAAATTCATGGTTCTTTTTTAGATGAAGACACTTGTTCTTTTTGTGGGCTACAACAATATGCCTCCAGGCTCTTATAGATCCAATATTAACGAAATGAAGTTGTGTTTTTAGATCAAATCAGGCTGTAATTAATGACTGAATAAACACTATAATAACTTTGACTATTATACCTGAATATTCATAGCTTCATTCTTTACAATAATTTTACCCTGCGGCAATCTCTTGCAACAATATGTGAAACAACATTAAAAGCATGAATTTAACCTATAATCAGCAATATAACATTGTACAGACGTCCTTTTACAGTATTGAATTTGTTTCCAGATTTCCTCTATTCTCTAAGGGCAAGGATAAGCTTCAGTTCAACTACGGAGTGTATTTGCTCAACAAGAACATCGCACAGTTGAGATGGTATTGTAGCCTCACCACGTCAGATCTCAGGTGTACACTGCCTAACTTGCTGGCTCTGCTGAACCTCAAGCCTAGCCTCAGCGGGTGAGTTGGGTTTACGTTAAAGTCAAACACTGTCCGCCAATTATTGAAGAAACAGGAGGTTTATGATGTTTTGGGATTTGGAATCTAAATAATTAGTCTATTAACAGCAAATTTTGAGTTGTTCTTTGTATAAACAGTCCTATAAATCATCTCTTATTGTTTAAATTGACTTAATGCAGGAAATCTAGAAAACCATATTAGATGGCATATACCCTGGAAGCATATATCCTGTGTATTTTGCCAGTTTGGACTCTTTCCCATTCAGGTAAGCCTGCTATCCTTTAAAATAAAATCCTAAATACCTAGGCACTTGTGCTCTATGTTACACCCTTAGTAGTCAATTGATTTTTTAAATTCAGGCATGCAAGCTAAATAGGTTAACATCCTTCTGTAGGAAACTAGTAGATTTGACCTGTATGTGTTAAAAGTTTGGTCACTCTAAGTCTAAAGATAATATAAAAAAAGATGCACAAAGATTAACTCTAAACAGCATACGGGAATGACAGTGGTGACTGGTGATGATGTTACAGGGCTGGACTGGAGGCAGGCAAGCGTACAATGTCCAGCTCTACACTTGAGCTGCAGGGTGTGAGAGGCTTGCGGCCGCCTCAGGCTCCTCTCTGCTACTCCCTAGACAAGGGCTTGGACCGGCTGGACCACGGCAGTCCACGCCTAGTGCCTCGGCAACGGAGCATCACACACAACAGCTCCGAGCCCAACGAGATCTTGGTAGGTCCTTGACAAGTGATGCTCAGACAGGATTAATAATCAACCAATTGATGGAATTGTTTATTTCAGTACCCAATTTTAAAAGTATATCGAAGAAATCTGAGGATAAACTGCAACTTTGTGACTCTTAATCAATTTAATACTTAGGGTTATGGACTTTGTCATTGTAATCATTGAACTCATTTCTTATTAGTAAAATACAAATTAAAAAAACAATCTTTTAAAGTGTCTGAGAAGTAGTTTATTCATATTTTGTAAAAGCGATTTTCATAGTTTTACAATTTAACTTTCTATAATTGTAAACAAATCTCACTAATCCAACGTTAGCTGACAAATTCTGTAATCAGACCAAGGAGTGGCTGTAATACATAGGACATGAGAGATTATTGTGCAATGTAACGTCTTTGTCAAAATATCTGTTAATCTAGATAAATCAAAAATATAAAGTGTATATAAAAATATATTAATTTGGTCATCTCTATGTCTAAATAATTTGTTATAGTACAATCTGTTTTATTGTTTTTTGTGGATTAATTTTGACTACAGTAATGTGGATTTTTCATTACATGTTGTCTGCAGTGCCAACGTAGCATTCAAGATGTTGCATTCATGTTTTGGCAAGATGCCTTGTCAAACACCTCAGTATAGTAAATACAAGTTTTTGTGTGCGAATATAAACACTTGTTAAACCTTGATTGTTACCTTTGAAACTGTAGACAGGCATCTTGAATCAGAATTAGTTACTATGAATATCCACTTCCAGGGCTGTTACAATACAATGAAATTAGGGATTGACGGGTCCCAAAATTTCTGGAAATTTTCTGGAAAAAAATATTCCTGATTTTCGGGATGGGATTACATTTGATTCGGGAATTTTTCGGGACACGACTTGATCCGATCGTCGGCGATTTTACCACTTAGCGAGTGTCGATGACGATAAGAGATGTTCGGAATAGTTCCGTGAACGCAGGAGGTGAAGTCATTTCGACGATCACGCCGTGACCGCGGAGTCATACCTACGATTGTGAAGTAACCACGGAGTCATACCGACGATCACGCCGTGACCGTGAGTCATACCGACGATCACACCTTGACCACCGAGTCATACCGACAATCGCGAAGTTATACCAACGATCAATCACGCCAAGACAGCGGAGTCATACCAATGATCCCGCCGTGACCACGAATCATTTTGACGATCGCACCGTGACTGCGAGTCATTTTGACCGCGAGTCACAAGTTTCTACACCTGTACATTTTTACCCATTTTTATTGTTTTTATAGATCAGTGCCACAAATGGTAAAATTTGATTTTTTTTGTCTTGTTTGGTAAGTGCAATAGGTACTTAATACTTTCTTTTTATACACAGGAAAAAATCCCGCCCCGTCCCGTCCCGAAAATTAGGAAGGAAATACAAATCCCGTCCCGAACTAAAAATTCAATACCGTCCATCCCTACATGAAATGTAGTAATTTTCATACAAGTTATCTATAACTATGGTTGTTTCTATCTCCAATAATCCGGCAGGTACCATTTTATTATCAACATCATGGAGTACTCTAAGGGAGTTCAGTGACTCGATATTGGGTAAAATAAATAAACAAAATAAATAACTGTAATTAATTTTCAGGTACCGCACAGTTCAGAAGACGACGGACAGCGTGAGTTCCTCAACTCCTGGATGGCGCAGGGCCCAGCGCCGATATGCTCTGACTCTGAGCGCAGCTTGCGTTCCAGCAATGACATCCTGCTGCAGGAGGAGAGTCTGGCAAGCATCATCAACAAGATCAACTCTCCTTCCAAGTATCCGACAAACATATCCAGAGACTCCACGGATGCCTTCACTTACCAGAGTATCCGTCAGGTCACGTCCCAAAGTACATACGCAGATTCATAGCACTTGAAAAGGCACTAGGCCAAATTCGTTGTAACAGTGTTGGGATGGATTGACATTTTTGTGTACAATTGAAAGGTTTGATTTAACAATTAGAAAAGTAAAAGGTCTCGTTTCAGATGTCCTTTTCACTGTGCTTTGTTCACAAAATAAGTGGCGGAACATTTTAGGCTCAGCTTATAAAAATATTTTTTGTCAAAATGATTTATGCTCATTATTAGGACACAATGTCCGCAGAAAATTACAGTAAATTTGTTTGTGTTCTTTTTTTCAATTTTTTTTTAAATTTCTTGTGAAAAATCCACACTGTTTAAAAACTGTGCCTTTTCAAGGAACCAATATTTTGACTGATGTATTATACTTTCCACTGTGTATTATATAATTTATGTATATTTAGATGATGATTATTGTGTACTATATTTTTGTGAATGCCCGTTAGTTTATCTCCGTGGGCTCCCCAAGATTATTCTTATTCCAGGTGGCTGTGCATTTTAGGTTTAATATACCATAGTTTAGTGCAATGATTTAATTAATGTTTTTTCACAATTGCATCGATGCCAATGACCTTGTAACACTGATTCTTTAATTTGCTAAACACGTTCAAAGTAATCTTGTTTAAAATGTCTATCAACAGAAAATTTGTTCCTCAGTATTAAAATGCGACATTTGCTTTGCCAAGCTTTGATACAATGTGCCCCACACTTTTATGTCATTTTTAAATATAGAAAATCCACTTAACATAAGCATTTGTAAACTGTAGACTCATAGTAGTTTTTTTACACTTCGCCCTTTAAAGTCCCAAAACAGAGAACCTAATCTTAGTTAATTATATAACATTATTTTATGATATGAGGGCAATCAAGAAAGCAAGGAAGGTTTTGGAATAAAATAAAAAGTTTGTACAGAAAAATAATTATAATGCCTACATTTTAAAGAGCAACTAAAATACTACTTTTCTAAATAGGCACTTATCATAGCGGTGGATGAGCATTGAAATTTCATTGTCGTAGAATTCCGCTGCCTGCGAGCTGAGCCACCTAGTGAAATGCAACTGGAGCTACTTGTCATTAACAAAGTGCTGTGCTGCTTACCAAGTCAATTCTGGGAAATAAACTGAACTGTAGGGTAGTTGCTAATTGAATGATTTTGTGTGCAATTGGAATTGGCCGCATGAGGTCAGGCATTGTAATGCAAAAACAAAATGTTGGACATCAACTTTAGTATAGCCGTTTTGAAACTAAAAGCACTATATTTTTTCATTTATCAAGTTGTTTCCGTACAACTCCGCAGACTTGACAATAAAAAAGTGTATAGGTTTTAAGGTTATGACTGCACCTCATAACTAGTGAGATTTTCAATTGCTGCAAACTTTTAACACAGTAATATTGCAACAAAGTGTAACACAAAGACATTTCCACAGTCATTGAGGAGGTGAAAACGTCTGTACTCTGTTCAGAGTAAATGTTCCTTACTTTCTGAATAGCCCTCATACATGAGACATCGTTAAGATTTTAACTGGATATCTTTTCAGCTTTTAGGTTTGATTCAATTTGGTACTGTGTTTGAAGCAATTTGGCAACTACCTTTAAGCTGCAAAATTGTATTGATTTAGAGTTGATTTGTTAAAAAATGGAGGTGTTACTTTTGCCTTTTACCATTAGATAGGCATAACAACACATCATTTCACCTGATTACTAATATTCTTACCAGCCATTGCTTTTAATATTTGGGCTATCCATTTAGCCAAAAATAGTTACTGTATGTCCAAAAATAGCCACTTAAATAAAATCTACCACAAATAAAAAAATAAATCAAGGTTAAAAATGTTAAAATGTTTTATATTTGAACTAGTAATTAAAAAAACAAACTGGTAATGTTTGAGAGGATTATGGAGAGTTGTATTTAAAATAAATAAATTACCAATGTGGTCACATAAATAAACAAAAATAAATTTCCTTGAAGATTATTAGCCTGTAAATAATAATCTCAAACAGCTTCATAATTAAAAATAGAACACAGACCGTAAAAACTGCAAAACATTATACACTTAGAATATAAGAACTATGTGAGCTTATTTAGTTACCGGCAGTAAAAAATTAATGGCTTGATGACATTCCTAACTTCCTAAACCTAAAACCTTCCTATACTATATGCGTATTTTGCTTGGTTGAGTAATTTTACCATAAAAAACAGAATATGAAATTACTATTAGCTAGGTTCGTGGTATTGTAATGTTAAAAAAAATTATGAAATATGGTTTTGTATAACAACTTAATTCCACAAATCTCATTTATAGTTTGGTTTTGTAAAACTGGAGACTGGCTAAAGTATTGTAATTTAAACTTTAAAAGAATATTTATTTGATTGTTAAATTAATAGGTATTTTTTACTCATATGTAGTTCACTTAAATCTAGTCAAAGACTTAACTATAAATATTCGTTAAGTAACTATCATCTTGTTTGATTGTACAGTTAGGCTATAAAATAATATTTATCAAAAGAACTATTTTCCAATTATTCACTGAAAACATATCTGAATCTTATTAAGGTTATTTTCTAACCAATTGTTACCAAAACAATTTAATAAATTAAAACTTTGGTTCAATTCAAATGTTATTATTTCTTGGGACTAAAGTACCTAATTTGGGTTATTAAACTTATTCTTCTTGTTCATATAAATAATTGCAACTTTATTTAAGCTTTAACAGTCATTTCTACAAATTTTACATGAGGTAGTTTTTGTAATAGGTATAGTAGCTTACTGAATTTGTTGCCTTTTTAGTGTTAATGCTATTTTTTGATTGATTTTTGTTGTTATTTTAGTAAATCAATTCATTTATTAAACACTATTAATGGTATATAGTTTGAATGTTTTTGGGATTGTTTGTCTGTAACTATTTTCATTCATATATTTACACATATTAGTAATTTCCTTTGTTAATCATTTTAAAGTGTTGATTGTTTATATATTTTGCTCTACTGGTTCAGATAAAGTTATCTGTGATATATTGTTAACTTTGTATAACTAATTGTTCCTTTGAATAAAACCATATTACAAATTTATTTACTTATATTTGAACTAACCTCTCGTTTTTTGTGACACAACTATAAATATTTTTCAAACTAGAAAAGTATCATTGTTGATCCAGTGAGAGATTTTTAGTGAATATTAACTTAACTTCCAAACTGCATCAACCTCCACCCTCAATGAATAATTCTCAATTAAAAAAAAGAGCGATTTGGAAAATAGTTATTTGTGCAACTAGTGAGAAAAGTGAGCAATTGACTCACTCGAGAGTAACCCTTACTCACGAGCCGTAGGCGAGTGAGGAATGGTTTCTCGAGTGAGGCAAATGCACTTTGAACTCGAGTTGCACATTATAATTTTCCTACAGTTACCATAAAACAAATAAATTGGTGAAGAAACATAACCTATTTTTACACAGAAGTGATCTTTATTATAACATTTGATGTGAAGTGACAAATACAACAGTACAACAGCTGACCAGCTGATTTACAGCCAGTGCTGCCAACGTATTTCGGGCGCATACGACGTTGCCTGTATGTTACGCGCTCACTATTTCGTGCCTTCACGTTGCAAATCTGGAGTGAGACAAAGCAATTAGAGGGAGACAATGTTAACATTGTCTCACTGATGAGCGAATTGGCCACTTTGCTTTCTCAAATCAGTGAGAGAACATGTACATTGTTAGGTAACTGTAGGAAAAAGACAATGTTGTAAGGAGTTTTCTTTTATATTGTAACAACAAGATAACCAATAATTAAATTCAAGAGCATACAAAAATATCATAGTTGAGGCAATGTTAGTTTTTTTATTTAGGCCTAACTTTTACATTATTTTATTTAATCAGAAAGTGTTTTCAACATGTCCTATTTCCTGTGAGGATGATTTTTATTGAAGTCTCGGATAGGTGGATCATAGCTGGAAAAAAACACATAGGATTTAGGAACTCTAAAATAAAATAAACCCCCCCCCCCCACCACAAAAAAATGGTTGAGCTTGGTGGGTGTGGCTTGTATTGACCTTGGTCTCTAATCTGTATTGGACCTATGATTCCGAATGATAATCTATATTAAGTGTCTCTAAAGTAAACAGAGTGTTTTAGTAATCTAAACTTGCCTGTCAGATGTGTTGACATAGTGAGATGTGGATAGGACAGTGTTGGAGCCCTTTAGCCGCAGTCTAGTCTCGTAGGCTAGTCTAGCCTCCAACTCTTGGATGTAAAGCTCTTGTTTCTTTCTAGAAAAAGGTTAGAAACACTATAAATATCAGTTTTTCATGACTGAGACCTCTTGTCAGTATGATTGATTTTAGTGACACAGGATTAAACCTTACACTACTAACATGCAATTTGTTCTATAGCAGGTTGAAGTGTATAGCAGTAGAAACTATACCGATCTTAAAGTTATGGCCATTTATCAATCAATGGCGCTATCATCTGTCAATAATGATATTAGGTAAGACTTGGAGTTGGGACACTCCCTTACAATTAACGTTAAATATGTTGTTGATGTTGTAAAACATTAATATAACATCAACAGTGTTTTCAGCAAAAAGCTAGTTAACCATAATAAGTAGTACCAGTTAGTAGTTCCTTTACTGATGGGGAAATACACATGTAATTGTCAAGTAGGAACCGTCTTTATATTTAAAATTTTATACACACACCATATGGTACCTCAGGCAGTAAGAAATTATTGGTAATATGGTATTTAATATCTTGATAAATGTTTCATTTATCTACATCTCACTTCTCAGACTGGACGCTGAGCAGCTGCTGTGTGTGGTTATGTCTCTCAGTGACCAATGCACTTTTGGTCTCTCGTAATTGTACTGTCAGATTATCCAGTTTATCCTAAAACACCATTGTATCCATCACTTACATAATCTACTAGGTTTGGTCTACATCCTACAGTGCTTGACTTCAAAATAACAAGTAGAACCTTACTTGTTCGTAACTTACATAGCATAGCCATAAAACATGTGACATTGTCAAAGAATTACTAAGTCTGAACTATTGAGATTAGAGTAATTACAATATGATCTATAGAGAATCGATTACAGTTTCAACTTGTTATAAACATGTGATATGTATTTATTTTGAACTTTTTACAGCTGCAGTAAAATTATGAATCATTATGTATTTTTTTCACATTGCTAAGTACTAACGATGACACATAAACTAGATAAAAAGTGTAAATAATGGAGAACTGCTAAGTTGGGAGTGAGTTTTCTTTGAAATTTTTTACTTTACAATTATAACCCATAGTACCAAATTGTATGAGCATACAAAGATGACTGAGAAATTTCCCCTTATTATTGATTTCAAATATTAACTCTCTACAGTGCCCAGTCAATTTTATGAGGAAATACTTGATACTATTTTGCTTTTTGGGGCCGGTGTGACATCTGAAACTTATTGTGCATACTATTTTGCTTAATACTATTCATTACTTTGCATGTTGATTTTCCTGAGAAATACTAGTTGAAAATATTGATTGGATACCTGCAGAGAGCGAATGTGTTTGTGTTGATCTTTGATTATAGACTCATTGTCTTTAATACGATGAAGAAGCATTTCCCTCTCACGAGAATTCTGCTCTTCCGAAATAGCTTTGTCTCTTTGCAGGGACTTGAGCTAAACCAAGAAAAGTTGTTTTATTCCTTTATGAGCTAAGTAAAACCTTTAACTGAACTGATTTTTGTAATTGATTGCAGTATCCAAAAGTTAAAAGACATTTATTTTTGTCTCTGCTGTTTTACAGTTTATAAATTATCTGGTATGAACATAGTTTTTTAAAATTTTCTATAAACTATTTTTATAATAGGCCTATAATTATTTTGAAATCAACAGTTCAAAAAGATTGATTACGAAAGATATATACGAGTTTATTAAAGTTATAAAAACAATCTAGTAAGACATATTTTAAATAAATTAATCCCTTGAATTTCATTTTGTTAAATAAATATGTATATATTGCTGTGATCGTTTTTTTCTATTGAAATTTAAAGACATTGTAGTCAAATGAATCACTAACATTCTTTTTCTAAAAACTCCATCTTCATAAAGCCCTTGGCCAAGTTTGAACAAATAAAGCAACTGACATATGAATTTTTTATTTCCAAAACACTGTTGTACCAAAACCATCTAAGCAACATTTGATTGTGTCATTTGAAAGGGTGACATACTTCCTGGTGCACTGCTCGTTCCGCATGACAGTGCATGTGGTTGGACAGTTTATCCTCCAAATCCTCTCTGTCTCGATACAACAGTTCAATAGTTTTCTTCATTTCATGCAATATATCCTTCAGTTCCTCTAGTCTGTCTTCTGTTTCATCCTGAAAACAATTTTGAAATATGTAGGAATAAGATTTAGGAAAAATTCAAGAGAAACTACGACTCTGGCAATGGTTTACCCAAATTTCAATTTTGCCTGGCTAACTGTCTTGTTCTATCCTTTCTTTAATGTCTTTTGTAAGTTTGATATCAGCATGGACCATCATACGTCATGTATGCCTAGTAATCAAAACTTGGTGGACACTTGATGGTTTGATCCTGAGAAAAGTGTATAGCTTTTTTATGGTTTAAAAATCTAAACTGGACCCAGTTGGCCTTGATCGTTGGGCTAATGGTCCTGACTAATGAAACAGCAGATCTTAGTACCAAAGCTACACAAGGCATCACAATCCATTCAATGAGCATAAACCCTTTAAGAAGTGAAATGCTTTTGAAGAATTGTCAGACTGGAATTTTACCGCCGAAATGAGCTTTGCTCAGCCGACGCTAGGATCACTCGTCCGGCAGCCGTGCTACTCTTTCTCTCTCTCTCTCTCTCTCTCTCTCTCTCACTCAGCCAGCTGACTTGGCCGTGCTACTCGCAATAGTAGCACCTTCGCTACCTAGTGGCCGCCGTGGGAAACTATCCAAAATTAAAATATTCCCAGGCTGAATTTTTAACAAAGGCATTGCGCTTCTCAAAGGGTGAATAATTGTGTTAAAATATGCTCCATCTCAATGATTGATAGCTGATGTTAAGGGAATATAGTCATAAACTTTCTTTTTAAAGAGGTTGGACTGCTTCTTTCAATCTAGCATTTGCCCGCTCCCATGGGCTTGGAACATATCCTGCAAAGCAAACACAATGGGTGAGCCATTCCAATACAAGAATTAACTGTGATGGCGGACTCCAAACCTTGCCGCCGCTGTGTTACAGTCTGCTGCGCTACCAACTGACACACCAAGTGACCAAACTCACTATAGATAGAGTCTCAATCAGTTGGTTTTGAACCAGTGTTTTTTTCAAAAAGTGTTCATTGACATTTTTTTTCTATAATATGTTTGTCTTTTTAGAAAGGTCATCTAATAATTTGTTACTTCAGTTGTGTGTTTCCTGGCAATGCTTGGTTTTTTATGCTCTACATTCCTTTTCACCTGTAAATCCTGCTCATGAATCTTGTGTTTTACTAATATGTGATGGAAAATGTCTCCCATAATCCTTTAAACAACAAATCTATACTGCTATCAAGTATAATGTTCATTAGTCATTCCTAATTCACTGTGAAAATGTGTAAACTTGTTGTTACTGAAATTCGTCTTAAAGCACAAAAGGGTATTCATTAATTAAAATTTCCCCGGCTACCTGGCTTCTCTGTAGCTTCAGAATGGTGTGCCCTCGTTGCTCTAGTCTTTGTTCCAGTTCCTCCTGATTCCTCTTGGACTCCACCATCACCCTAACAGCGTGTCTCATCTTGCTGTATAACTCCTCGTGGTCCTTCTGCAGCTGTTCCTTCGTCCTCTGACTCTCCACTAGAATCCTCTCCATATACTTCCTGTTCTCTAGCAGTTCTCGGACTTTCGACTGCAACTGTTCAATGTCCCTGAAATGAAGCAATGTGAAAAAATAAAAGAAAAAGTGGTGATACTCTTATACACTCTACAATTCTTCCTTAGTAAGATATGTGGAGGACAACTTTTCAATAGTTGTGTTTGTGGCCTTTGGGTTGATTTTGAAAAAAAAATTTTGGGCACACACATTTCTTAGCTTCACAAAGTTTCAACCATAATAAGGCCATTTATCATTACAGTAGTGAAATAAACTGTTAGCAAGCCAGCAAAGCTTGCTAACAGTTAATTTAAAAAAGGACTGTCCAATTTATTAATTCATGTATTAAAATATCAGGAAAATCTCACTATTTTATTCGATGTTATTATACATATCGATCTTTTTGTGTGAACAACATTTATTTGTAAAACTCTACAAACAAATGAAAATGAGGAATTACATTTTTTTTATTAATGCATACCTGGAACTTAGACTGCTTTTATCTGAATGAGGTGTTGATGCTTCCACTTTTCCCTGAAGTATATTTTTCAAGTCAACTAGTTCTTTGTCTAGCTTCTTTAATTTTCGTTCAGTATCCTTTCTTTTTCTAAAACAAGTCAAAATCCATGTTAATACAAAGTAAAATATCTTATCTGTAGTTAAATATGTATTTAGTTTAATGTTTCATAGCCTATTATAAAAAATACTTTTTAATTAAAGCTATTTTTGAGCCATTTCCATAATTTTGGTAAAATAGGTTGTTTTACTGATCAGCCCTGAGAACTATTTTTACTTTTGTTTACAAGATTATCTATGATCATATAGTTTGAAATGTCATGTTGTATATGTTATATACTATTCTAGAGTCTAAAATATGGTTTTACAATTTAAATATTCAAATGTTATAAATCATTGACTTCTACAAAATAAGACAATGTTTTTCTATCGCTTTCTTTGATATGAACTTGTCATGGAAAAAGTAATCTTCTAAAGTACTGTAGGCCTACTTACTGTACAAAAATACTAAAGTTATGGAGGTTATAATTTAGTTTGCTCAAGCAAGGCAAATTAAATAGCAAACTAACCATATTTCCTAGTTTAATTTAAAAATAAAACTAATAATAATTTTATCGTCTCAAAACTTACTGAGTTTCCTTAGCTAAATCCTCAGCTGCTTGAACATTGGTTCTATTTTTTTCCATGTCCTCTAAGTAGTTAAGCTTACTTCGAACTTCCTCGTTTTCCTTTTTGGAACTATCCAAAAGTATTTTATACGTATTCAAAGCTTCCTCGGCTGACGCTTTGTTTTTCTTTTCTTGTTCGAATACGTTTACTACCTCCTGAAGCTGCATGTCCTTTATCCGTATGTGATTTTCAAACTCATACAACCTCTCTGCTGTAAATTGCATTTCAGTCTGCATTGCCTTCAACTGTGCCTCTGATATCTTCTTTGTTTCCTCAAGAGCTTGGTTAGTGTCTCTTAACATATCTTCTATCTCCCCAATCCTGTTGGTTTTCATCTGGCATTCTTCTATGAGATTTTTGAAAAATCTATCCCTAGGAATGGTTTTCTTACTGAGAAGCATCATTTTGTTGTAAAAATCTCTTTGTTCTCTGACCACACTGTCTCGTTTCTTCTCAAAATCCAAGAAAACATCTTTTAGCTCATTAAACTGTTGTCTCCTTTGTTGCAGTTCGTTTTGTACTTTCTCAAAGTCTCGTAGAGCACAGTCGCCTTGTGACCGTAAGGTTTCCAGATAATTCTCCTGTAAAAGTCTTCTGTTTTTAGTACAGAGCACCCTTGTTAATCTGAACTAATTTGAGACTAGATTAGTCGGATGAAATAAAATAAAAAATAAAAAAACAAGGAGTGAAGAAAAGCAGTGATATTCGAAGAATTAAGAAAAGTTGGTAGTAATAAGGATTTACTGTACATGCCAAAAATATCCCTAGTACCCAAGCACTTGTTCCCTACATAATTAGGAAATAAATACTAAAAAAAACATCATTCATGATTACCATGATTCATGATTATCATAAATTACATCTGGAATAAATTTCAAAATGTAGCAATAGTTATATCCTATTACATGACATTGCTAGGCCGTAAGTGATTTGTATCTTTCAAACCCACACTACATCTTACAATCAACACTAATGTGGTAAAAGTAACAATGATTTACAATTATCTCAATATGACTCATAATCACCTTGTCTTGCAAGCTGGCTCTCAGATCCTCTATTATCCACTGATCATGTTGGTACATGATTTGACAAAAGATGTCTCCGTCTATGCTCAACAACTCTTCCTCCTTCATCGCCTCTAGTTTGGCCACCTTGAAACATGGCAGTATCATACAAATTACTAGTTTTTTTCCAAAGCTACTACAACAGGGACACAGTGTTCTGCGTAATTGCATTGATTTTAATATAATACACTATTCTATATGTGTTAACCAATTTAAAAGACAGAAGGCTAATAATTACTAGCCAGTATCGCCCCTTGCATTCATAGTAGAAAAACTACTTTTGTTAACACCTTTTTATGAGTATTGAACCAGTTTAAAACTTTGAGGTGCCAAAAATATTGCACTAACATTTAATTGTACCTACATAAAATAATATTTCCATTGTGATGAGTAAGAGTCACTTTAAAAGTTTACTAATGCATTCGAGCATATCTGCATTCGAGCAAATTGAGACGGTAATTACAAGTGTTCATTGCTACACTATACATTGTTTTCAGTCTTATTATGTAGCTGACTATCTTATTAAGTATAAAGTCAAGTCCTTTTGTTTATTTCAAACACTCTACAGTATTTTTTAGCTTCTTTAATTTCTAATCCAACCAATAGTGACCTGACTCTTCAGTGCCATGACTTCCTGGGTTTCTCGCACCAGTCGTCGCTCAGCCACAATACTCTGTTCGCGAGCCTTGGTCACGTCTCTCTCTAGGGCTACCAACCTCTCTTGCAGACTCTTGTTAGCATCTGATAGGACTGAGCTCTCTTTTTTACACTCCTTAAATCAAAAACACCATTCCGGTTAAAACTGCCTTATCTGCCAAGGGACCAAAAACCCTTGAAAATAACCATTTTCGATTTACATTAAATCTTCCTCTTATCCATTATTCCGTGCATTCAACAAAAATGTTTTTACATTTTTGTATCTATTGCCGAGGAAATATATTATGTGTGTGTGAATCAGTGTTTGCAAAACTTTATGACTTTGGAATGAAGAATAAAACGACGTTCACCTGAATAAGATTTCAAAAGCGGTTGCCTTTTCAAGGATTTGGATCACCAAAGTTTAGTCAAACAAAATTATACTTACAGGATCCTCAGATGAAATGCTACACTAGAATTTGAATCATTGGTTTTATCAGTGTCATTATAGTGATTTGTAACACCGCAAAACAGAAGTGATTACCATTCTGGATATAATGTATAACATGTTAAGGCGGCTTCAGACATGCGCCATTCGCCAAGCACTGAACACCGACTCGCCAAATTGCGAGTAGTGTGGATATGTGTTTGTCTATTTGGCAAGCAGCAAACATTCGTGCTCGTGTTTTATCGTTCATTGTTGGTATTTTTGCACACATCAAAGTGAACGAATATTTTTGCTATTCCCAAAACGAACAGTTGCTTGGAAAACAACACATATGTGTAGACGTCTACTCGTTAATTGGCGAATAGCACGACATCTAGTAAAATATTTTGTGCTTTGCGGATGGCGTATGTCTGAAGCGGGCTTTACATCATAATATTCCAATCATCTTTACTCAGTAAATTATAGTCCTGCATTCTTTTGTAGATTTTCTCGTATGTTTTTTTTGCCTAATTTGATTCAACATTTGACAATGGTTTAATGTATCCAAAGTCTATACTGTGACTAAATAGCATGTCTTCTGTCAGCTTCCTACTGACTTTCACACAGTTAAAATAATTATTGATAACTTACTCACCCAGTGCATTATGCTCACCGTACCCAACAAAACACTTGCTAGTTTTGTTCGTAAATCGTTAAACCGTGAGTTATTTACTTGGTTATTTATTACCAATACCGCAAATCCTTTTCATCTTACCTCCAACTGGGCAACAAAGTTTGAAGACCTTTCCAGAGCTTTGCTCAGCTGTTCGTTAGTTAAAGTTTGATTTTCACACAAAACAGCCATTTTATTCGCGTGGTCCTGTTCTAGTTTTGTTATTTTTGATTTGTATGAGGCTTGAATATCTTTCACGTGTTGTTTGCTGCTTTCCAAACTGTTTTGCAACTCTCTCATATCATCCTAACACAAAGAGAAAATATTTGTGTAGTTAATACTATGAGCTTTGATCCAGTGATGCTTTGGTGAATAGTTGTAATTTATTTATTGTTAACTTTCATAGTTTATATTGATTTGTTGCTAATTGTTAATTGTGATGTTTTATCTGTTAGCCTTACAAGTGCATTGTACTCTTACCTTTTATACTGCACTTTGATGTATTTCTTTTGTTCTTTGACGTTGTCTATAGCAATGTAAATTGATAAATGACAATAAATGGATTCTTATTCTAATTCTTACTACTAATTTTAACAATGTTAGTGTTGTATATTTACTACTAGGTTTCAACTACAGGGAATATAATTAAAATGGTTCTACCTCTTTGGTGCAACAAATTTTTAAAACGTGATCCATAGGTTAAAATGACTTTTGCCAGTCAGACAAGTTTAATAAATCATCCCAGTTCAAATTGATTTATTACACTTCATTTCTGTATTCCATATCTCATAATTAGGCTAATTGTAGAATGGACTCGAATACATTGTTTAACTTTGTCACTAGGACTGAAAATGTCTTTATCCAGACCATTTATTAAAAACCTAATGATAAAGGACCCTAATCTAAAGCAGTTAAATCATACTCATCAAGAGTAACATGGTGTAACACATACTTTTCTAAGCCATTTTAATATCCCACGTTAAAATCCTGTATGTGTGAAATCAATATTAAGCTTACTAATCTGTGGCTTAGCCAGTGGGGGAGGGCCCAATAAATAAATGGTGTACAGATTGGGTGGAAGTTGACGGCATTATATGCCTACTCCATTCACAAAATTTAGACGGTTTGAGGGAAAGTTCCCCCACCACTTGTTTTTGCTCAATGTATATGTTGCAGCTGATTGACGTTTTGGCAAACCTCAGCTGTTCTATAAATATTTAAAAATATAGAAGGTTTGTGTAAAATAAAAATTTAAAAAATACTTACTTCTAATTTTTTAATGAGGTAAGTCTTTTCCTCCAAACTTTTACTTAGCTTATGATTAGCTTCCTTTTCAATGGATAGTTCAAGTCCCAGTTTATCTATTTTACTTTTGAACAATGCCTCCGTATCTTTTAACGTTTTCTTTCCTGCTTCTAAAGCCTCCTGGAGTTTTCTAACTTTTGACTGGAAAAAATATTTGAAGACAATTACAAATTAAAAAGTAAGATAGATTAAACAAATTGCTAAATAAATCTTTTAAGTGTACAAAAGTCTATTTTCTTAATTGTGTTGCAATCATAAAAGTTGCTGTGGAAAAATTATTAAAGAGTTTCAATTTCTTTCTGGTAGACTTTTGATTTACCTGCTACAAAAGGTTGATTTTCCTGAATTTATAACACAATCCAATTCAACGCTTGCAAGAAAAAGTAAGAACATATGATAAGCCTTTGTACTTACACCTCTTCATCACGCAAGCGACGAATATATAGTCAAAATTGTAAGTGGTCTGTAAATCAAGGGAAATATGTTTACTCCTAATGTGACCACGGTTGTCAAAGTAAAGTTAAAGACGATTTATTGTTTTATTAAAAAATACTTCCATTAAATATTATTAATATACTATAGTTCCTTCATAATATTTAGGCGGTTTTAGCTTTAGGGGAAGAAATCTATCCCCTCCTCTTGACCCTTCCCTTTAAAATATGGCTCAACCGCTGAAAAAGCATTAAGTGTAATATCCTACTACTGTGAAGTAGATTTCTTATTTCTATGTGAAAGCCTGGCAGCCTAAAGATTGTGTTGATGTAAAATAACTTGATCTTTCTTTAAAAAAAATCACAAAGGTGCCAAAATGGACAACATTTTTTAAACAGCATATTTTAAGTCTAGAATATTTATATCAGAATAAAAAAAGCAAAATTAAAACTCAACGTCTCGTTCAACTACACTGTATTCGAGTCTAGCTGCAGTTGGCCCATACAGATGGGATATCTGCTTCAGAATCCAACGGTTATGTAATAGATTAATTTTCTGAGCTTATAGAGGGGGTAGGAGACTATTTATTTATAACTAAAGTAAAGTACCTGTAACTGTGCACTATCTTCCTCTTCATGATTTACTTTATTAGTTTGCACGTCAAGTTTCCGTTTCAGACTCAAAATCTTTTCTTCTTTATCTAGTTTTTCTTTTTTCACAGTGATCAGTTCACTTTTCAATGTTTGCCTACAAGAAAACCATTATTGACAACATAGTTTGCTAGCTTAACGTAAATGTGTGAAAAGTTGTGCAAGTTTTTAAAACTCACATGTCAGCTTCAGTCTGTTTCTGAGTCGCCAGCAAATGTTTTCCGAGCTCCATAAGACATTTACGACCGAGGTGTAGAAAGTCAGCTGGGTCCTCTTTTTTAACCTGAAACAATGAAAATTGAAAACAGAATACTCAAAACATGAACACACATGAGAACATGAGAAATATTTTATATTATATTGACTACGTTTTATGATTTGCTTTTTTATAAAACATGAAATAGTGCTAAGTGCGCATTACATATTTCTGATTGGTTTGTAACACTGTCTCTTGATATTGTTCGTCATTGAAGTTTTATTTGAAAAAGATTTTATGCTTCCCTTTTCTTATAGCCAATGTATATAATTTTAACAAGCCATTAGCTTAGCGATAGCGTATTAGTGCAAGCTAATGAAACATTTGATCACTTTATGAAGCAGAACTTCCAGAGAACACATTTTAAAATTTCCCCTCTGAGTTAGGATACACTCCTCATCTACTACCAATAAGAAGTTTGAAGTGAGGCTCTTATACTAACAATACAGTATTGTGCTCATGTTAATATCCTAATCATAAATTTTAAATATTTTATTTATATTTTTTAGATACAGTAATTTATTCATTCTGGTATTTTCAGATAATTTTATCTAGTAGATAAATCCATCATCCAATTCAATTCATTTAGTTCATTGTACCATTGACTATTTGTACTTCCATCTAAATAATATTTAACTTGATACATGTTATTTTGAGATGCTTACGCTTACACTTAAACATGAACTGATGATCTCAGGAATCTTTGAACTTCCACTCAAATGTCTCTTTATTTTCTCCAAATCATCCAACAGCAGATTTCCTTCCTCTAAACAACTCTTTACTAATTTTTCTTTTCTTTCAAGTTCTTCATTTAGATGTGACTTTTGATTCTCTATAAAAATAACCTTTAAAATAATTATTATTTAATTTCTTGCAGTTCCAATAAAATAACATTAAATGAAATGTTTTTTCATTTGGAATAAACTTGAATGAGTTTGCGAACCAGCAGATCGGACTACGGGAACAGGGTTTTATAGGGAAGATTTATGGGATAAAAATAATTGGGTTTTCCCATTTTTGGCCCTCACAACATAAACTTTCCCAACCTTCTAAAGCATTTTGAAGAGCGTAAAAAAGAATAATTTACTATATTAAAGTATTATTTTACTATTAACTACGGAGAAAATTCAAAAATATTGTAAATTTAAAATTCCTATGTTATTTTTATGGAAATTAAACCACATAAAATAAACGTATACGAGTGGAAATTTACAGGATCTGTGGATCTTTGTGAATTGCACCACAACCCACGCATTACACTGCTTTTTTACTCATCCTAACTGTATGTGAGTTTACAAAAGATGTCTTAAGATGAGAAGTTGACTAGATAAAAATTGGTAGGGTCTATAATAAAATTAAAGAAAAAACCAATCACAAGGACTGAAAGAGTTAAGATTAACTCACCACAAGAAGGTAGAGCACATTCCCTGTGTTCTGGTGGGTCAGTTCCCATGTCTAACATGAGAGGTCTCTCTGGCAGCAAGTCACACAGGTCAGTGCCTCTGTCGGTGACACTGACCACTTCCAGGAAGGATTTGTGTGGACCAATCCTCCTCTGCTCTGTGTTCTGTCCATTACTATACTCTGCATAAGGTTCGCCCTGTTGATGAAATTAAGTTCTCATATAAAGCAATACATGTTATCATACACAAACTACCACATAGTATACAAACTTTGTCGTATCATTGACTTCTGGATACTGAAAGACATCCCATATATATGAACTAGTAGGTATAGTGAGCCAATCCCAGAGTGTTCTATAGTCTGAGATTTCGTTTTCTCCCTTAGGCCTATTATTTGTTACGCTGGTAGTGGTAGTCGTGACATAACAGATCCTAGAGTTAATGCAACTATAGTTCTTTCAGTTTGGCTGGATTAAAAAGCAACAGGAATTAACACTCTTTGTTGCTGGCTTAATTAATCTAATTTAATTTGCAAATTCTAAAACTAGCGAGAAATAAAAAAATGTGAATGTTATGTATAGTTCTATGTTATGGTCTATATAGCTTACTATACTATCAAATTAACGCCAGCGGTGGTTCCAAGAGGGGGTCTAAAGAGGCCAAAGCCCCCCCCCCCTTGGACCTTGGAAATATAAATATAATCATGCATTTTGTCATACACCTGCACTGGGGGATTTAGACACAGTCCTAGATATTTAAAATGGCTTTAAAAGTCACCAATCTGCTTTAAAAATAAAAAAATCTTTGGGAGAGAGCCCCCAAAGCTCTTTCCTGGTATCAGACCGCAGTGGGGTTTTGGTCAGACACCCCCGTTAGCCAGGTTAGCCCCCCCCTTGACAAGATCCTAAAACCGCTACTGTTGAACACCATGTCAAATACAAAAAGATGATCTGTATCTTCATTATCAGTAATTTGTTTTCAACTCAGTAGTAAAATCAGAGAGCAGAACAAAGATAACATATGTGTATAAGGTTTCCTCTATGGCTCTGTCTCATGAACTGATACTAGCACCACATCAAACAAAATGGAATGTCTGTTGAAATAAAATAAAATAAAATAGAATACTCATAGAATTGAGACTAATTATTTTCAAACTTAACTTAATGTAGACTTAAACTTGACTCAATCATGGTTTGCTATGATAAATTGTTTATTTCTTACTGTCTATGATGAGAGTAATTGGTCTAGATTGACTGAACCAATAACCTTTTTCTGAGAGTGTTTGTTGGATTCTGATTGCTATTGTTAACAGATTTACTGACATTGACATTAAGTGTGCACTTAAATTTGGTCTACTGAGAATTCATTTGTAGTAGGATCTTTTAGGTATTACCTGCATAAATTGACGGCTAAGTGTGTTTGCAGGACCTTCGATGAACATGAGGTTGTATCGAGAGTCCGATTTTGAACAAACCTCTTGGTCTTCAAAATCAGCTACAAAGAGACAAACTACTGTACTCGTCAGATAGTTGTGTTTTAAAATAAATGTTGGGAAACCAGGTGTACAAGGAAGTGTAGCCTACTCTGCTTCCCTAGACTGTCAAAAGGTTTTGCCTGAAATTAGTCCTTGATTGTATGGCTTTTAATAAAGTGATCCTGGCCACAGAAACAGCCGATCTTTGCCAGTAATAAAGCTATAGATAAACGCACTTCATTCATCACTAGACTTGTCTTGAATTTATATTCACTTTAAAATACACTCCTATATTGTGTTGTTTGCTGTCAGAAAAATCATGGCCAAGCTATTATTCAGAAGTAACTAACAGAATATTTCAATTTCCGAATTTATATGATGACTTTGAAATGAACGAATGGGGTTGAAAAGTTGGCCACACACAATAATATATGTCAGGAATATTAAATATGTGACTTTATGTAATTTAACTAATCCAAAAAACACCTAAGTATGTGTTTTAAAATGTATATTGAAGGTACAAGATATTGTATGGTAGTTGTATAACCTTTCTATGATTCAATGAATTATATTTTACCATGGTACAAAGCTTCGTCCCTGTCATCCTCAACGAACACCGTCTCTCTTGGATCAGAGTGTGGTTGAGGCTCAAACCTGAAATCAAATATTTAGAATTTTTTATTCCCGTACAATAATATTTCAGTAATGTATTCGACAAATATGTGTTGAAACTTAAGATAATCAATACCATAGAATTAAAAAAAAATCAATGATAGGTTAATTTTTATCAGAAAGAAACATAACTGCTTACCTTCGTAGAAATGGGTTTCTAGCACCATTAATCAATTTTGGCTTTTTTGATGAAAATATTTTTGATAAAAAGTTGAAAGAAGGTTTATCTTCATGTGTTTTGTACTGGTCTGATCTGAAACATGATTACAGATTTATGCACGTAATAAAACATAATTATAAGAGAAAAAATCTGTCCTATATGATTTTTTCTTCCAATCACTATTGAGTTTTATTAATGCAATATTATCAGCCTCATCTATTGAGGTTCATAAACACCCACTGAATTTTGTAAATAGGTACCGTAATTAAAATCTGAATGCATGAATAGTACTTGTTTTGATTACCGAGGTCATAAAACAATTAAATATTTTCAAAATAAAACTAGTTTGATTACTAAACGAAAACTTCAGCTAATTATTTATTTGCGATTTTAAATGTGACAGAAATAAACACAAGAGAAAATTTGCCAAGTGGGTATGCAATAAATTTTAGTAAGTTGGTCACATACCGATTACTAAAGTAAATTTAAGTAGATACATATGTTTTATTGATTAATTCATATCGATATATTAACTAGGCCTACTTACTCAGTGTATTCATATGCATTCGCATCTCCTATTTCATTTTGCTTAAACTTTGTAAACATCGCTGATGTGGTCAATCCTGGCAAAACATGTCAAACAACTAAGTTTAAAATCTAAAATCAGAGATGGAAATTTTATAAAACTGACTAACTAATCTCCACATAATTTACTGATAAATCAATCAAAGGAGTGGTACAACTATATATTTTTTTTAATGTCATATTTCTTACACTTGCAAAGTATTAAATATACAAAAAATATTACAAAACCGTATTTACTCTTCTAAATAAAAAAAAAAATAAACTGACTAAAAGTCTCAATAGGTTGGAAACCTACCTGATGAAATGCAGATTCAGGTTAATTAATGCAGGTTAATCCTACCTCTTTTTTCACAAAAAAAAAAAAATACCGAAATATTAACAATTAAATATAGGAGAGAATAAATAAATAGTTTGGGTTGTAGTTAATTTAATATTAAAGTGCAAAAATAAGAAAGCAAAGATTAATTTTGTTAGAAATAGGTTATCACAATTTTTAAAGTTTATTCATAATTGTTTACTAACACTGATTTAAATAAACAAAATTTGTTTGTTTATGTACAAACAGTTGATATTTCAAATTTAATCTTCTTAGTACATGCTCAGGCTAAGATGCAGACCTAAAAATGTACTCAAGAGAAAAAATACTTAAGACTTTGTTTGATCATTGGTTGTTTTATAATCATTCACTGCCTTAACAGTTTTATCTTCCACCCAAACAAACCGAATAAGCTCAATCCACACCCAAAAAAAGATCAAACAACTGGTCTCTTAAACTAGTTCTATCAACCAACCTGTTACAAATTACCATCATTGACTTAAACATTTTACAAGTGGATTTCTCATCCCATTGGAAAATCTAAAGCTTGATTTCAGTAAATTTGCTTCATGCCACTTACAATATTAAAGGTTCCAATGTCATTTAATTTATTCATTTCCATTTAGTTATTTTTCACTACACCATACAAAAAATTAAATCCGTTGAAACAACACTCAAATACTCTGTGTAATTTATTTGATCTATATTACAGATACAAAAGGGTTAGCTGAATTTATTTCTCTCTCTTTATTCTGAATCGAACATTCCATTCAAGGAATATCTAATTGAGAATTCATTTTTAGAAAAGTTTTAATAATGCATTTTAAAGACAAAAGTTTGGTATTGAAGATTTTTCATTGCATTCAGGCACAAATTGTATATTGTTGTCACGTCACCTGCGGAAAAAGTAGTCAAATGGAGTTGCAGTGTATAGGCTCCTGAGCTTCGTGTGTGATAAATTGCCTGCTCGTATTATCTCCAACCAGCCACAAGTTTGTCATATATTGAGTCTAACCTTCTGTAAGAAATGTAATAAATATGGGAGTACAATTTTTTATATGAAAATATTGACTTTTACTTTATGGATCAGACATCTCATCTCAACTTTTTATTAAATAACCGGTATCAGCAATCTGACACACATTTTCTCTCATTAGTTGAATAAACCATGCAGAGAGTTATCTGTAAAAATGTTATTTTCTCCTTATTTTTGTTACTACGATAGTTTATGTGTCACAAGATGATATTGGGTACAATAAGCTGTCCTTTCAGTTTGGTTTGGTCAAAAAGTTGATACAGTCAGTCAAGTGAAATTAGTAACTTTATATTGAGGGCAATCTGAGTTCAATAATTCAACTACGTCCATTTTCATTTTATACAATAAATTGGTTACAACTTTAATATGGAAATGGAATGGAAGGTCTAGTTATGTTTATTGACAAATATTAAATTACATTAACACTAGTAGAATAGTTTTCCTACCCTTTTTAATCTCCATTTTTTATCTCCCTTTTACTTGCTGGTAATAATTGTAAAATAAATCAATCGATGAATTGTTCTAGAGGTCGTTAAGTGGTTGAAAACTCAACCAAAAATATGTAATGTACATACTTCTATTTCCCCCACACGCTGTAAATAAAACATGTGATTGGAATTTCTTTCATTTGTTTTGATTTTCTGTTTATGTTTCATTGTTATTTCGTCACGGGCATGGCAACCCATAAGCCCCATGCATTTTTTTTAAGTTTTAAGTTAATTTACTATGTTTATTTTTTAGCCTGTGTTAATTTATAAAGGTATTCTGCACATCAACAGGCAAATATCTTTCTAACAGCATTCGTAGATTTTCCCTGCGATGCATAGGAGCTGATAAAAACGGTTTTAGAAACATACTTGCCTAGATAAATTCTATTCAAGAGCTAGACAACAATGGTATTCCAACACCATGTGTGTTAAAAGCCCTGCAGCTATAAAACACAACTGTGACAGCTGTATAATAGAAACGTCACTAAAATTTCAACTCTATATCTGCATAAAGTTTACAAAAGTTGTCATGTGACCAAAGATAAACACAATCACCTCAAGTCTACCAGCTGGTTTGATTGGTTGTAGGGGGGTGTGTGGGGGGGATGAAGCTGGTTGCTTAGCAACAGAGAGTGTTGTCTAATGCAACTCACATGTATAGCACTCCACACTGGATGACCACACTCGAATTCATCCTTTTTATCGCTCTTCATTCACGCATTATTTTGGAATCTTTGCACTCAAACAATATGATGCACTGAACCACCTCAATTTCATAGCAACCAGCTGGTTATCCAGTTAGAGACTTAATTCTCTCAAAAGTTGTACATACTTTCAATGAGGATATATCCTCGCCTTACTTACAATTGATCATACAGTATTTTAATTTGATTTGTATTGCATTTTAAATGTATATTAACCATGAGTTAATATTTTTGTTAAAATGCTTATTCTGTTGATAAGTGCTTTATGTTTACTTTCAAATACTGTACTATACCAATTAAAGATTGTAATTAACCGTAATTAAGAACAGTTGTCCAGGTATTTATTAAATTTTTGTAGTAAATGGGTTCTTAATTTGTAGTAGCTACTGTAGAACTAAAATCATCCTCCTAACTCAAATTATCAATTTTATATCTTGTGATATAAATATAAATTTGTATTTTAAACTGCAGATGATAGAAACACATATTCTTTTTTAACATTTAAGATATTGTAGCAAGGAAGATGATTGACTCAGTAGGCAGCATCTGTAGCAATAAGTTGGTCTCCTAGCAACAAGTCTTGTTCGGCTTCTTCCTTAAATATAATTTATCTCTGATTTATTCCATGACATTTATTTTATTTTTATAGGTGCATTCTAAAATAAATTTACCACAATAATAATATCTATGGTTCTTAAATAAATTTACCTACGACCGTTTTTTAAGTAGCCGTTTCATTTCAGTTTTTAGAATTGCAAAGTTTCAGAGAGGTAACAGCATTGTTTACTTACATAACAGTATAGTTTTACTTAACGACACGGGTAACGGACCAATGAGGTTCAAGGAATGAGAGAGAAGGAGTAAAATTGTAATACTTTGAACTTCAGCTAATCAGTTGTTTACTAATTTAACTGTTAATGATTGGTGCAACTGATACAACTGATACAAATAAAAATAACTCGTCTTCACAAACTCTATCTTCGCTGATAGAATAGTTATTTTTTAGCTTATTAAATTCCAATGGTTTACAAAGGGAGTGAGCGGCTCTTGTGGCAGAATGCAGCGAATCACCATTGGATGTATCTCACAGCTTCTATGTCTAGCCTGAAGTAATGTAAAAACCATTCTGGGCTACAGCTATATAGCGTCTGAGGATGTGAAGGTGGGAGTGGGACATAAAAAATATGATATCCACAAACAGGTCATACAGCAAAACACTGGTATTTCATCCCAATATCAGTTTTGTATAAAAGGAGTGATATAATTAAGTTACAAACATTTTCATCAATCTTCTCTCTAAAGAAGTTCTATACTGAGGGAAAACATCAGTGTTATATGGTGTAATTTTTAATTCTGTGGTCGCTGGGTGTAATGTAAATTTTTTTTAGGAGATATACATGCCCTCGACTCAAATTTTCTTTGTTGAATTTACCAATCAGTTAAAAAAAAATATCATACACAGCAAGGTGTTGTATTACAATATTTCGATAACTGTTTTCCTCTATCAAAGCCAGTTGTGCATTATGTTTTTAAAGAGGTTGGTAGGAATTTAAAAAACTTATTTAGATGTATTGATACGAAAAAATATGAACATTTGTTATGCAAAAGGAGGCATATTTTCCATTCCGTTTTGATTGTTAGCAAGTTGACCAACAGATCTGTCAGTGTCACAGGTGTATGTGAGTCAGTTGGACTCAACAGAGACTGTTGCTAGGCAACCAACCTCCCTCCCCCCTCAGTCTCATGATTGCTCTTATCTGAACATTGTCTTGCCTTTTGATGTAAATTCTAGTGATTTCAGCTCCTCAAGATTGAGTACTTTAGACCTTTTCAGTATCAGATAAACGTTTTATTTTTGTTTCTACCACAGAAGAGAAATTATTCTCGCAAAATTAATATTTTAGTACAAAGAGCGTCTAGATTTTTACTCTATTATTTTGCTGCATGGAATAAAATATTATTTAAAAGGCTTCTTTCAACCGCTGCCATTTTTGATCAGTTGTTTTCTGTTTAAGTTTGAGTTTGTGGCATTGTATTTTACTAAAGCCGGCTCTAGACAAGCACCATTCGCAAATCACGAAATATTAGACGTTCAGCCATCTAGTTGTACTATTCTCCGATTACCAAGTGGAAGTCTACACACATGTGTTGTTTTCCAAGCGACCGTTCGTTTCGGGAATAACAAAAATATTCGTTCACTTTGATCTGTGCAAAAATACCGACAATGAATGAAAGGGAAAACACGAGCTCGAATGTTTGCTGCTTGCCAAATAGACAATCACTTATCCACTCCACACTAATTGCGATTCGGTGAGTCCCTGTTTGGTGCTTGGCGAATGGCGAATGTCTGGAGCCGCCTTAATAAAGAATTAATTTTATTTTAATCCCTTTCAGTCCGTATCCATGAGGAGGTAGTGCACCACTGAATATTGTGTTAAAATCATGTTCATGCTAAGTACCCTAACTTTGTTTTTAAGTTTTGTAGCTCCATTTTTTATTATCTTTTTTAAATATTTAACTGTCCCTAGACTTTTTTACCACCCTGTAACTTATTCAATAAGTATTGTACTAATATGTAGCATTTTGAAATTGAATTGAAGGTGATACTAGATGAAATAAAATGTGTTACATACAGGTAGTGCTCAGTGTTTTTAAATATTGTTTGAACTGGCATAATTTGTGTTTCATGATTAGGTCTGAGAATTGAGCAATGAGCAATCGTGGTTTGAAGTTCTTTATCTGTAATAATCAATGTTGAACTAGTACTATGTAACTGAGCATATTTTAAGGGATTTCCACTGGGCGACAGTGGCGCCGGACTTACCAGGGGTCTGGGGGATATGGAATACCCCGCATCAAAAAGGGGGTCCAGGGGTTTCCCTCGGAAGTTTTTGCATAAGTTAAAGTGAAAATCACCCATTTCTATGTATCTTTTAATGCATTTTTCGATTATATTTGCATGTAAATAGTCCATATAATCTCACTTAATTATGTATTCTTTGTAACAGGCCAAGGCTCCCTTCACAACCTCTTTGTGCCAAAATTATAGCTCAATACTCTAAAATATTTACACAATGTTATTTTTTTTTAACTCCGATACATTTAAAATGTGACTTATAAAAAAATATGCCGGCACCACCAATAGTCACTGGGCGACAAAATCTCAGCACTAGTGTTGCCCAGTTAACATGTTATTTTATGCCCTGCTATGTAATATCTTCAAGTGTAAACTAAGTATGACAATTGTTCTTAAATTTTGACTTCAAAGGGATTGAAATAATGTAATACATGTTTTCATTGATTGTCTTCTCATAAAAAAGAGCACATTTATAAGTGACAGCAGCATTAATTTATTTTTGTCATATTGAATTAAAAGAGTTCAAATTAGATGTCCTATAATTTTTCTAATACATTTTCTGTGTAAAAGCCAAGGTAATTGTTGGTTAGAAGGGCATTGTTGTAAGAGCTTATGTCAATTGGTCCCTAGAGTAGTTTGGTTAAACCTTACAATTGAGACACATGATGGGGCTTGAAGCTTAATGTTGCCGACTACTAGCGGATGTACATAGCTGCTTTAACTTATTTTATTTAAATTTCTAGGCTCTCTTGTAAGAAAATGTTATCAAAATGATACAATAGGAATAAACTTATTAAAGAGTACTTAAAATTCTATAGACTTGATGATTAATTTTTACTCGTTTAGAAAGTTCGATTATTTCCTTCTGAAGAAGCCTCCTAATAGGGCAATGTTATATTTCATCACTACAGATACTCTTTTCGACCAGAGTTCAAGTTTAAGATGGAGGTGAAACCGAGGTTGGAAAATGAGCGAGGTAAAAGACACATATTTTGCCTGTGTGATGAACTAAATTTTTTGTCAAATTGTAAAATTATTTGAACAAACTACGTTACAAAACTAAAAAAAGTTTTAATTTAAAGATAACCTTTCAGAATTATTTCAAGCTTTATGTTTTCAATTTAATTTGCTAATGGAAACAAAAGCAGCTGTTTAGTAAGTGATTCAATCGTTTTGTCTATTACGATTGTGTTAGTGTAGCCTACTACTATTATATTATATATTGATATGTCGAACTATTTAAAATAAGACAACAATTAACTACAACCGATTAAACAATCAATATATACTTTCGATACACGCAATTGTTTACAATAAAAATTTACAACTGAGTTGACAACAGCTGATTTTTACTCTCTAGGGTCTAAAAACGATTTTTACTCCCTAGAGAGTAAAAATGCTAATTTAGACCTGCAGCGCATGCATTCAAAACGGCTGTTTTTGCTGCAGTATGATGAAAAAATATTTAATTGATTGTGTTCTGATTTATTGTGAGAACTGTCAACTACTAAACACCTGGAACTCCTTTATGGTTTGATTAGTTGTGATGGTTGTGTATACATTTCTTTTTCCTTAATACAATGTTGGTGCCAGAGAAGGTTTGTTATGACCTAACTCAATTTTACAACTTGTGTTTTGACAACAACAAAAATAAACAAATTTGTTATGTATTTTGTGGGTAGCCTAAGAAATAAAGCTTACAACATTTAATGCTGTAGAAGAGGAGATGAAATAAAAGAAACCCAACAAGTGGTAGCATTTAATGTCAAGAGAGCCTAGTGGTAGGAGGGTATCTCAAAGTGGATGGGGGGTTGTAGGAGATGACAGGGGGTTAAATACATGGGGAGAGGGGTTAAAGCAAAGATTCAGTAGACTCTGGTTTCCCAAGTAACTTCATGTTTTATTTAATTCCGAGGAGATAAATTTTATCCTCTCTGCTTTATGTGAGCTCCTTCTTTTACTTTCAAACAGATAGGTATCCAGAGCCTACCATGATATAATAATGATTGGGCATTGGGGAACAAAAATGCCATTTAACATTATTTTAATCATCCCATGCTCAATTTTTTTAATGTTTAACTAAGACACTTGAAATAAAGGTTAGTTAACTTATCGATTTGTAGTTGTTACTAAATTTGTTTGTACATGTTACATTGTACTGTAAATATTTATTTACTTATTTTAATATTTTTACACAGATCAGGAGGAAAAATCCTATTATAGTGACTACAAAGTTTAACTTGAGCATGAAGCATTCATTAAACTTTACCTATTGACTAATGACTATGAATATTTTTATTTGTAATCTTCTATATAAAGGGTCACAGTCTGAAAGTATATAGTAAGCCCCTGTCCCAGCAGAAGTAAGATGACTTTCTTTACACAAAAATACTACAGAAAACCCATCTTACTAATATTATAAATGTCAAAATATAATTTTAAAATAATTTATAATTTAATTTGTGTAACAATCTGCAGTTTTATACCCTAAATACAACCCATAGAGTCGGCTTTTGTACATTTAAGTGTTTGGAGGAAAGTTAAAAAAGTCACTAAATTTAAAAAAATTCTAAATTGTAGTTGTACTTTGTGTAATAATAGCTAGCACGCTCAATGAGGGTTCTGTTCAGTTCAGAAGACGACAAATCCCAACATTTACTTTGAAATTCAATTAGTCCATCCTCCAACCATTTCCTTCCTTCTCTTCCTTCTCACTGTCTCTTTATTTCTTGTCACTTTTTTATTCTTTTCTGTTCTTGCTTTTCATCCACGTCCTCTAAAGATTAATCATTTTCAAAGCTCTAATTAACCTTCAACTTGATTAATATTTTAAAGAAAGATGATAATTTTTTTAGCGAATTGAATACAATTTGAAATATTGGACACTTTTCACAAAGTGAAACAACTATTAATATCCTCAACATTTTATGTCCAAGTGTGCCTCAGGTCAAATATATATGCCTCTGGAAAACTATAGGCTTCAGAATCTCACAGATCCATTTCACTAAGTATGTATCAGATTAATTAAATTCCCTGCTATTAAAAACAAGAAAATTCTGTACTTTAATTGAGTTGTATGTTTAAGAACCACATTGGATTGAATTTTAAAAGTTGCTATCTTAATGTTATACAATAAAAATATTAAGTAAAAAATTGAGAGAATTACTCTGGAGGATAAATAAGAGAATTGTTGAAAAATAAAACAAACGTATCCATAAAATATATGTTTAATAACAATCGTAACAACTGCACACTATCAGCTTAGAACTAGGTTGGTCCTCAATCATACGCAAACAATTCCATTACAACTGGAAATAGTGAAAACAACTACAAATATAAAAATATACCTATCTAAAAATACAAACAATTTAAATACTTCAACAATCAAAACTCTTAAAATTAATCTTATAAAGCCATCACTGGTCGAGTATTTTCCTTGTTAAAATGAATTTGAATTAAATGCAATTGAAAGACAGGAATGTTTTGTTGGTCACTTGTGTGAGTGTGTTATTGTCTCTGATAATACTTGGCGGGAGGTCGTTGTGCGGAGGTGGAGAGGGAAGTTAGCGTTGCTGAACCAGGTTCAAGAACTCCTCGCGGGTCTTAGGGTCGTCACGGAACACTCCCAACATGGTGGAGGTGACAGTCTTGGAGTTGATCTTCTGCACACCTCGCATAACCATGCACATGTGTCTGCAATAACACAATGATCAGTAAAAATACAAAATAAAATGTTAGAGTGGAAACTTGTGTGGAATAACTTAGCTGATGTAGCAACTAGTTAGGGTAAATGTAATGTGTACATTAACAGAATCAGTAGATATTGGTTTAGTTTGATTCAAAATCTTTGGTTTAAAATGAGTTAGAGAAGATGATATAATAATCTCTTAAAAATGTGCAAACAACTTTAGAGAAGTAGTTACCCAGTAGCTAGATAACTTCATTTGTATTTAGGTCTAAAGTGCATTGTTTATTTGTAAGATGTGTGTATAAATGAATATGCATTAAATTAAATTCATGTAAATCAAATTCATTTTAAAATTATATTTATGTAAATAAAATACCTATTAAAACCTATTAAAAAAATAAAATTAATACTTACACTCCCTCAACAACAACGGCTACGCCCATGGGTTGAACTGCTTTGGTGACTGCGATCGCAATTTGCTTTGTCAGACGCTCTTGTACTGCAATGGAAATTTAGCTGTTAATAAGCAACTCTCCTTAATATGACTTTACCATAATTACCTAATGGGTTAAATACAATAGATAAGATGGAAGGAAGATATATATTGGTGTTTTTACTCTTATCACAGATGGTAAATAGATTGAAGAAAAATAATAAGTTTGCAAACAATAATTTGCAATAAGTATTTTCAGACTTGTTCAACAATATTTTCTTGTTCTATGCTCATCCCAGCCATTTTCAGACTTGATTTTTTTAAATAAGCACAATGAGTGATTTGGCCAGTACAGGTCAACTATATTACAGTTGATTTTAGTTAAATTAAGAGGCAATAGAAAAATTGGTATCAAACCAAAATGACAGGTTGCCATCACAGTTTTTTAGTTCTAACTTAAAATGACTACCTCAAAAAGTATATGATCCGTTGAATAAGTAACAAACCTTGAAGCCTCCTGCTGTAGATTTCGACGATCCTGGCCAACTTGGACAGACCAAGGATCTTCTTGTTAGGAAGGTAGCCAATGGAGACTTTGCCGTAGAAGGGCACGAGGTGGTGTTCGCACATGGAGAACATTTCAATATCCTTTACAACCACCATCTCATCGTGGTCTTCATCGAACACAGCGTCATTCAGAACATCTGCACATAGAAGGAGTGGTTAAGTTATCAGTTATTTTAATGTCTGAATTACAGCTTCCCATGTTTGAAAGAAACGGAATACTGTATATATTTTTTCAATAATGACTTATAGAGTTATTTAAACAGCAGAGTACATATTAGTAATGAGGAATTTGAGGGATCCATCTTGCCAAGGCTTTGTACTCAACTTAGTCATTCATCTCTGCGACCTTCTATTAGAAATTATCCAGATATTATACTGACTTACTTCTTGGACTATAAAAGCCTGAATGGAGTGTATAAATGATATAATTAGTGGAAAATTATATAATTTTGAGGATTCAATGATAGCGTAAAATGTTTACCTTCAAGACACTGGTCGTATCCCTTGGTGAAGAAGAGCATGGCCTTGGCAGCCCTCTCAGGTGTCTTCAGGAGTCCTTGGCGGTCAGGGTTCTCTCCTAAGGAGCCCAGCAGCATGCGGTAGCTGTGAGCCATGTCAGGCAGAAGTGCCTCCCTTGTAGGTGGTCGGTGGTCCAGCTCCAAGTCATGGTGGAATGTGCACTTCTCGTGACCTGAAACAAGATGATTTAGGGAAGGATTAGTTTTGATATAGCTGATGGAAAGCAGTTTAACTTATGTGTAAATATCTACGTCCATCCTTTAAATCATGAAGACATCTGACTTTATGTTTTATACGAGTAAAAAACGCTGGATGAGTTATTGCAAAACTAAAAAGTAACATACACCTAGCATAAAAGTAATATGACCTTGACAGCGCACATTGAGCTAAAGAAAAAAGTGTGACACAGATGTGGAGTGAGGTGACACCATTAATTATTGGCAAGAATGAATGTAATATAAATGGGATGGTACAAGTCCAGCTCCATTTTTTAGCACTTAGCTTTTATAATCCCATTACTGTATTTCATAAACTCAAGCTTTGAAATATTGGTTAAACAAAAAACATTATTATTATATAAAATAGGTATTATAAGAAGAGAATGAAGTAGGTACAAGAAGAGTTACCTCCGCTAGGGCGCGAGTTGTATTGGGTATTGAAGTGTATTGGGATATTCAGCTATAGCTATAAACCATTGGAGCGTTCTCGTTCGCCATATTTTAATTGCGTCGGGTTGTAAAGGAAACACCATTACGTAGACAATAACTATGTGCGATAGAGGACAAAAACATAACCTCGAAGACTACATAGAAAGTTGAGCAATGCCAATACCCTTGACTATGGTTTGTTTTGCTAATTTGCCATGCACGACCGCTATCAAAAACATTCCAACCCGTCCGTGGATCTTGTTTAACAACAAAGGAAACCGGTGAGAAAAAGAAATGAACAAACTTTAAAACCGAAAAGATAAAGATCAGTTATTTTATAAGAAATATGAGATATTCCTTTAACCTTTCAGGACTAAATTTCCAAAGTCCTTTTAATGATTTAAAAATCGGTAAGCTGATTTGTGTTCTTATAGATACAGTACTGTATTAAATAACATAAATACCATAATGCAACACAATAAACAAGGGCTTTACAACATTTTTGTCATCATCTGATGAGATAAAGATCTATGATTTGTGGACAAAGACTGGGTGTCTTGCAAAAGTAATCAATAAAAACACAGTTGCAAATTCAATTTATCTCCGTAAGCACTGTTTATAGTCCATACAGAAGTTATGTATATATGAAAGCAACACAGATCACTATCGAATAGCAGAATTTAAAAAAGAAAAAAACATATTCACTTCGTAGATTAGTCTTTGACAAGGAAAACGTGTGCGATAAATTGAGGTTGTATGCTACATAAATCAGTTGACAAAAACGAAAATAAATCACTCATATTTACAGGGTTAGAAGCATTCCAGTTAAATAATTCTAAATTACAAGATAAACATGACGCACTCTCCACTCGAAGTTAAGTATTATTTATCTCGTTATTATTCAGTAAAGAAGATTCATTTCCAAGACGGGAAATTCGCAAACCACTTCAAGAAGCCTTTGCTTGACAGTTTCAACAGACATGATTTAATCCTATCGTTATTTATCGATATTAATCTTCGAGTTTTAAGAGTGGGATTTCCTCGTTTGTTGTTGGTTGTTTCCCTCTTTTATCGTCGTCGTTGGTCGTTCAGAGGTTGTAGCCGACGAAGGAGCGGCTTGAAGGAAAACCACTTATGGAATGTTAAAAAGCTCCTTTCCTTCATAATGATTGGCAGCAATAATAGCATTGCAACTACCCAGGACTTATAACCTATATTGCAAAATAGACACTGAGGTCTAAACGTTTTGTTTGTCTGCATGGTTAAACTATTAACTAGTTTGTCTGCATGGTTAAACTATTAACATTAATTTGACGAAGGCAAAGTATCAAAAATCACGTCCGCCAATAAGGGCCTATAATTCAACAATTCATGATTGAGAAACCAGTATACAAAGGGAAAGACTTTTCACTTATTGTTTTAGGTCTCTGCTCTAATAAATCTATTATTTACAAACGCCTCAATACTAAGTTTGTTAGTTTAAGATTAACCAAAACCATCATTAAAGAGTTTTAATCCAAACTGCAAGTGACGGTCTGCAAAAACCCTCTGCGGTAATTAATTTTAATAAAATACTCTTTTGTTAAAAACCATGTTAGGAGTCGGTAATTTTAAGTTTAGTACATATAGTGATGAAACTAGTTACATTAAAAAGGGTGCTAACCTTCCAAGCATAAACATTGGACGAATAAATTTGGTAGAGGTTATTATTATCCGATTTTTTATTATTGCAATCAGATTAGAAATTAGATGTTATTTAAATACACAGACAGTTCGCTTTATAAATTGTTGGATAAGGTGTATTCTCAGATAAACATTGTTAAAATGTTACTTCACGTATTTATTATTGTTATCCATCAAATTATTATATATTCAGGTTATTGCATTTATTGAATCATTTGGTTTATTTTAGCATTATCCTTATATATAATACGTGAAGGCGATTTCTTGAAAACACTACTCCTCCGTTAATAATGGACGGATTTTTACAAACGACGTGTCAAAATAAAATATTTTTTGTGTAGACACCCCCTTTCACCAATTCATGTAGTAAAAATCCTCGGGCTTTGCCCCACAGGCCATCAAAGTTGGAGTTTCTCCCATAAGATTAACATGGGGGAATCTAAATATTTTATTGGAAACTTTGTCCCCACTAATTTGAGAGAACGGTTGGGCGTAGAAACTTGGTAGAGGTGTCCAAAGAAAGGTCTTGGTCTGTAGATGAGTTATGAAAAGAAAAACTAAGCAAAATCCCTTAGGACTCTGCCCCAGAAGCCTTTAAGATCCCTCCACAGAGTTGTTTACATTTTGGCCATGAGAATAATACTTTTTAATGAAACAGCTGTTCATTTTTAAATTGTATTTGAAACAACACATATTTATTGGGAGTTGAATACTACCAAATAAGTATTTGCAATGTTATTTTCTGATTTTAAAATTGATTTTCTTCTTTATCATGCCATGTTTTGCAATATAACGTTCCATTACGAAATCAGTGGAAAATCCTTTTATCACAGCAATTCTTAAATTATTTCTTATTGAACTATCTTATATCTATTGTATGGGTTGGTATGTGCCTTTTTCGCCACTTTTGCCTACATTTTATCATATTATTCTACAAAATATCAAATATTTATGTAGAAGTATCTGCTCTTATTGTGTCTAATAAAATCCAAACTTAGAAACATTGCCTAAAATGGTACCTATCTTGACAAATAATTTGCACCTGCCTATATTACGGACTTTGGCGCACTGAATTAGTAACATTATTGAAAATAACACGACATTTTGGCTGTAAAATATGGTACAAAGAGAAAATACTATTTAAGCAGCTACTGTCATGACAGAAAGGTCATATTCCTTTTAAACTAGATCACATAATCCTTTGACTGGGACGGGTGGCGTCGTCCTGTAATCCAGCTACTAGGAGGTCACGAATTGTGGATATTTATAGGAATGCACTGTGGATGCGATACTCCCTGGTGTGGATCAACGTCCGCACGAGTGAGTACTACGACTACCCGCAGTGCTATCCTTATAATTATACCAATTCATAAATACCAATGCAAAAAAAAATTGGTTCCAATTCAACTATAAACTGTAGATCCCTTGGTTGCCATTCGCTGTATGGGCTATTAATTAACAGCTGTATCTAAGGAATGTCGGCCTTAGTAACTAACAAGACTTCAAGATCGCGCCACTCTTCCTACACTCATCTCCATTCATACTTGGCTTACCTACTATGAATGGTCGCCATAAAAAAACGTATTAAAGGATTAAAGTATTTATCATATACGTTGATTAACAATATGTAAACGTCAATATATACGTAACAGCCATTTTACGGTATTTTTGCTTTTTGGAAATGTTCAATTGCTATGTCAATTGCATTATTTATTGCCAATGAAGCCGCCAAGATCATATGAACTAGGAGGCCCCTAACAGTTCAAGAATAAAAGCCAACTTTACTTCATGTATTCCACTACACCTAACATTCCGTAGAGAGATTATATTAACAACTTTATGTTATTGATAAGGCCGAGAGAGGCCGAGACAACTAACTGACATCCCCCATGTCAAGGAATTCCAGCTTTATCAGTAACCCCACAGTCAATTTCTCAAAACTATGCTAGAGGGTTCATTCATTGGCACAGAAGTGCGATATGAACTGACAATATGTATATTTCACCCAATTCATCGCAGTTAGATGAATTAACGTAAGCCTTGAAAGTAACCGTCGATTTCGACGGGTTTCCCCTAGTCTGCTAAATTATCAGAATTTTTACTTTCTACATGATGCAAAATGTTGACAAATATGTCAAAATAAAAATAACAAAGTCGTCTACCTTTCCAGAACAAGCGAAGAAGCTATGTTAAAAGACAATTTAGTTATCTTGGTCTCAACTGATGTTTTGAATGAGAAACTACAACTATAAGTGTAAATCAAGATCGTTGTAATGGGATCACCGTGTATCAGGAATATCCTCCATTCTTGCACGTAATATTTGAACTGTTTGGATAAAAACAAACAAAAAAGTTATTTGCAGGAGAATATTGACAATTATACCGTTTGGTTAAATGATAGATTTAGATTTTTATATGCTATACAACTCACCAGTAATATACCTAATATATTTCTTGTTCTACTAATTATTAAAATACACGATAGACCACCACCAGACACGAAGTTTAAAGAATTCCAGGAAATAATGTGTACAATTATATATGATTTAATCTGTTAAAACATTTTCTAACAAGTATTCTGATAAAAAAGTAACGTTGCATGATATAAAGTAGATTTATAAAATTGCATTGCATAAATTTTACTTAAATTGAATTTGGTTCTAATCGAACCTCATCAACGAAGAATTGTCAGGAGATTGGAACGCAGATTAATTACATCCCCAAGACGTAATGTAATCTTGTCTGAGTCAGCGTCAAGACAAAGTTTGTTATCAGTTGCCGTGTTTACATGTTTGTAAAGCAAGATTGTTAAACTGGCTTCGACATGAGTAGTTACTGGTTATCTGCTGGACTGCCTGAAATGCTTACAAGCTCGGAACTCTATATTTGCGTCAGTAAAACATCTTACGAAACTTTTCAATTTTATCTTAAATGTTTCGCTGGGAGTACGTAAATATTGTTGTGTCGACTGTATGCTAAGATTGCGCCATTTCTTTGAATATCAACCGTATGATAGTTCGATAGTTGGAAAGGACGATTTGGTAAAACATCTATATTGTTATATATGCATATTTAAAATACTTTGAGTCTTGGAATTTGAAAAGATAAAAGTTTTCTTCCGATGGAATATTACGTATTCACGAGCTGTTTAATTCATCCGCGATGAGGTCGTATACAAGCAGCAAGAGGTCGCACAAGAAGTGGTCGCCGGTTTTTATATTTTACAACCGGTTGAATTAACGCAGAACAACAATTACCTTAGACCTTGCCCTCTTAACCTGACCAACAGTTTCGTAATCAAGTCTGCAACTAGCTTTCAAAATAACTTTATAGTTGTAGAAACACTTTCGTAGGGTTTATATGGGTTTCCCCGTGTAATAAATGTCCTGCTAATTGATTGCACATCAACGGCAGAAATTCTTTGCCAACTGGGCAAGTGGGCATCTTATATAATATGGTTTGCAAAATTGTTACATAATCATAGAATGGATGAAATCTACATCTTAATGACCTGTTGGCAAAGCAAAGCTGCTGGTGTCTTTAAGTTTTTTTAGTACCTTTCTACAGTTATCAGCTGTTCCATTGTTGTTAACAGGTTTGAATTTTGAAAAACATAAAGTTGTAATATGGTGTTGCAGTTGAAAGCACAGTGTATTGAATGGTTTACATAAACGAAATTTGTGGTGGTATTTTTTGTCTGGGGGTTTGTGAAAAATCAAGTATCGGTCACCGATCTCAAACATAGATAAACTTAAAGCAAAGCTGAGGGAAGCCACTTTTCTCAGCCTTCGATCAGACGAACTTCAAATAAGAAAATAAAATCTAAGAGGGATGGACGTTGTTTAGTAACTTATGCACAGAGACATATTAGTTCTATGTGACTAATGTGACTGTTAACAAATAAACACAGTCCAGTGTCCGATAAAACCATGACATGTTTTTCAAACTGTACCCTACATGCAAACAAGTTTGCTTGATTTTTTGATAGGAATCTCAAGTGTTAAATCCTTCCCCCCAAACACTTTTGGGCCACGGAAATAACCAAGAAATGTACTTAAAATAAAAATGTTTAATGTAATGAAGCATAATCTCGTCTATAGGTAACATGTTTTGAGTGTGCCCAACCAAAATAAAGAAAGAGTTTTGGATGGTACATGTTTATATTATTTTTCGCAAAAGGTACAAAACTAAAAAATTGTGTCCCTGCAAAATCCAAATTTAAATTCTATGATTGTACTCAATTTTTTTTCTAAAGATAGCCCAGTTAAATTGTATAAATGTATAAAAGTGCAATACAACTAAGATAAACCCATTAAAAAATAAAAACATTATGTATTCTTCGGTAAAAATGATGTCTTTCAGCCAGTTACTCAGCTGATTTCTTCTGAGACCTACATACTCTTTGTTCGTCGTCTTTTGTGTCTTTTGCTAGGCAGCGAAACGTAAAAAAACAATTAGTTGATGGAAATGATATGAAACCCGTGCTTCAAACTAAATAATGTAATTAATATTCTAGTATTCGGACTTGTTTAATTATTTTGAGAGGGGGTTGAGACTGTCCAAATATATCCCCACCATTATGAAAGGTTTCCCCACCATTATTGAAGAGTTTTTAGTGAGATTTTTTGAAATTACATTACAATTGTTCACCATTGCAGCATACCACATTTGATTATAAAATTAAAATATAAGTTGTCGATATATTTAAAAACAAACATTAGCATGACATTAGAGTTAATTAGGTATAAAATTCATAGGGCTTGAATAATTTACATTGAATTTTTATCAATGCCATGACAAAAAATTGGTAATGTTTAGATAAAATAAAGAATTTAAAATTAAATAAAAATTGAGTTCAACATTATTGAACTCATAATATGTTGTTTACAAGCGATAAATAGTATGATATGAAATTTCTGTAAATAAAAATTGACAACTAGGTATTAATATTTTTTAAATTGTGGGGAAAACAAAAACTGCAGAATAATAATGATATATTATGATCGATGATAAAGTTACTGAATCTTCAAAATTACAACAGTTGATTATAATATTTGAGTACTAGTAAGTATGTAGTTAGTTTTTATTTACACAATGTCCACACAATTAATTTTAATACATCATTATTAAAAACAAACAAATAATATTATTGAATATTTTAGTGACCAACGAGTAAATGAGAAATGAAGTTAAACCCAGGACGACTTGTTATCACAGCCCATTATACCTGGGGTGGTCGAAGTCCTAGGGGCTTTAGGGGTCCCGGGCACCTCGATGTCAGTTTCTTGCACCTCCTCCTGCCACGACTTGGTTCTGCTCCTCATAGCCTTCTTCAACATCTCTGTGGACCCGTTCATCACTACACAATAATATATATGAGCGCGGCCTACAACCTGTTGCTGCTGTACTGCCTATAGACGGAGCGCGAAGTGAGGTTATGTCAGGAGCGCGCGCGACTGTCGTTTACTCCGTCGACTCTCAGATATAGACACCAGTGGCTCTGTTACGTCATCACTGCCTGGTCGATACTGCATCCATTCCAGCCGACCAATCACAGCTCGCCTCGCCTTGCCTCTGACCAATCAGACTGCTCCTACCCCTTCATTGAAAAGCCACAAGTTTGTTAACTACCCTTATTGCCTTTAGGGGGTATTTCCTGACGCCTATATTGTTTTAACCTTTGATCCTACTTCTTAAGGGCTGATTTACTTAAAATATTAAACGACAAAGGCTGAATTTTAATATTGTTTTATCATTAATTAAACTACGATAAACAAGAATAAAATTTAGAAAATTAACTTTTGGTTACTAATAAAATTCCCTCTTCATAAAGAGTACTGGTAATGATTGTTTCAATGCAAGCAGAAAGGTTTATTTTTTAACGAATTTGTACAATAATTTAGACCTCTTACGATATACTCGTACTTACTTTTGGAGGAATTGTTTAACTGTGACATTTTAAATATAGTACCTACTGTAAGTGATAACATTTCCATTTAACTTAAGCAAAACTTAATTATGTGGTTATAGCCTACAAATTTACAAAACCTAACATGATCACATTTTAAAAAATTATTTTTTATTTATGCGTAAACTGAATCTGTCTCTATTTACTCTTTGAAATTATCTATACATCTGGTAGGCATACACATCCATTTAATTCTATATCAAATAAGTTTAAATAAGTTTTTTTAGTGACACCTCAGTGTAAATTTAGTAGTTTAAATTTAAATACATATTATTAAATCAATACAAATCTGAAATCTCCGTTAGCAGACTTGTACACAAATTTGTTTGTTGATAGTTCTTATTTATGGAAACCCAATCCAGATGTTCGCCTACATTAGAGGTTATTTTTGTAAATAGTTTTGTGGATATTTGTTGGATTGGTGGCAGTACATTTATACGTCGACCCCTCGTTGCAATGATGGATACAAAAGCTCGTATGCCAATCATCTGTTTGTGACGCACTCCATTCAAAACATCAAGTGGAGAAGCATTGTTGGACACGAGATTTCACACTTCATTGTTGTATGTGTAAATTACCAAAAGTTCTCTTAAAATTAAAAATGAAAAAGGCAGGCTAGTTTCCCATTATCTAGTAGGCTGAAATTGAATTTTTCGGAGAAATATTTCTTATATCGTTGTGACACAATAAGCAAGCACTATTACGATGCGATATACCAAATAAGTGTCAACTTGTAGTTAAATAACTAAAGTCAAACTAAACATTTCATTTGGTTACGTTGATTCTTGTTAGTTCTCATGAAAATATTTTCTTTCTGAGAAAAATAATTCCTTAGAGTAAATATTACCATATCTGTTTATTATACGCATTTAAATTCTTCAATTATGCAAATCAATGTGAGTACACCATATAAAGTGGAAATTACATCAAGCAAACAAACGCATAACACAACAAGGTGAATGAGAAATGTTTTGAATTAATAGTAAATTCAAAAATATAGCTCGTGATATTTGCATAAAATAGTCATCCAACAGACATCTTCAGGCTAAGGAATATATACATTAATTTATTATACTTTAACATTAAAGCAAGTATTGGTACAATCTAAATGGATACCGGTGACCAAACTACGCCTGATTTCGTGACAACATTTTGGTATTTCACAACTCGCCAAATTCTAGTTAAATTGAATCACCTGGCCTTTTAGCTGACAATGGAAAATCCCAATAAAGCTCTGCTGTGTAAACTTGTTGATAACAGACAATATTGGTCCAGATGAAATGACTCACTGGCCTTCGGTTACCTGCCTGCCTGATATCATTTTCACGTAAAGAAACATTCTGTTGATGTATGGTAATAACAAACTCCGGATGACCACATACACTAGAATTAGAAGACCCACTTCTCTATGGGATGACGTAAATTGGGAACACTAACAAGGGAGACCAGTTAATTCGCAGAAAACTAGACCGAACTGTCGAAAATCCCAAAAGTTGAAACAAGGAAGACTGCTGTAGAGGAAAGGCCTGATCTGACACGAATATCAGTGACGTCATTAGACAACCGGTTCATCGCCTACCACTGCAGTACTATCACCGCTTATCATAGACGAACGTTCTGTTTATCATCAGCTGTTCTCTGAGTCATCCTGGCTCAACTTCCCAACTCCCAGCTGACTGTATCATGACGTGTGTAGGCGTTGTGTTTGTTTATAAATTTGTGATTGTTTCCATTTTATTTTAGATTTTTTTCATTATATAGGTAATCTAGAAAAAAACCGTAAGTCGTGTCAAAGATGAAATAGTATTTACATGTATATAATTGTTTTCATGTAGGTATATAATTATACAAGTTCCAAAACATGTTACTTCTACGAAAAATATTAATTTCAATTTGTTGAATCCGTTACAATTCTTAATAATCAGCATGTAAACCCGCAAACTTTTCTTTTGTTTATTTTTAGTTCAAACGAAAATGATTACTAAGTTGCGAAATTATATTTGTTAATATAATAACCGAAATGAGCGCGCTGAGCTGTATACTCGAAACAAATTATACATGAAAAATAATTGGGTCATAAATTTGACAGTTTTTCATTTTAGAGTTTTAACCAATTTTAAATAGCAAAGTTTGTATAAGAAAACTGCTAAAAAAGCCATTTTTTAACACCCTTTAGACAGACAATGTCCTTGCTTAAATAAGTGTTTGTAGAGTTGGTTGTTAGCTTAGACAACCAACTATCAATGCTGAATGACTCAGTTAACCTATTTAGTAAAAACAGTTTCCTGAAGACATGTCAGCCATTCATAGTTAATATCGACAGTTTATTGTTTCACTAATATCTGCATGTCATATGTGCTATATTCTGTAATATTATGTGCAATACGTGTATCAACTATATTTAAATACCTAATGATAATGCAAACAATTTCCGAAATGTTTGAGGATATTCACTCTCTTCTATGCGAGTGAGAACGGTTTCCAAGGACGACAGGGCTGTAAACCAACGGAAAGTTTAGTAGTCAGAACCAGCCACTGGTTTACACCAATACCGTAGTATTTACCGGTCTTGATATCTATGTAAACCGATATATCGATATATCGTATCGCATTACGACCACAGCAGGGGGCTCGACCACAGGTAACGGGTGTGGTGAGGACAACAATGCAACTAGTCTTAGATAACCGGGGTATAAATAACTCGAACTGTGGTCACGTGATGGTATTTAAAGCAGATTGGTAAACAATTCATTATTTTATTACCAATAATATACGTTTTTTACATAGAAAATATTCAGACAACCCATTTAGTAAGCTGACCTTTTACCTATGAACTGTATTTTGACCATATTGCTCAATGGATGGTTATATTTTTAGTTTGTTTACCCCTATATATTTTTAATATATTTAAATTATATATTGCATAAACATAAAATTTTTGTCTGGTGTTTAGTTGGGTCTACAGCACAACCATTTTTGCTTAGTTATTTTAATTTTAACGATTCTATGGCATTGAAAATAAGTATTCAGTAGGTAAGAATAAATGTTTATATCGAAAGAGTTTCCAAATTATTTGAAAAACATATATTCCTTTTTTACATATAAAAGAAGACTTGGATGATTACACGATACTCAACACACAAGAATACTGTGGTTCGATCACTTGACATTGCAAAATCTTGGTTATCTGAAATTGTCACAATACCGAACGTGCTAGAAATATGTACACAAAATAGAAACCGGTTTAAAACTCAAAGTTAGAAAAATGATACAAGATTATTTAGAATTGTATGAGGAATTAAAATACAGACAAACATATTCATAATTTAAGTCGATGTGATTCTAAATTTAATTAGTTAGTGGTCTTGGATTTCTTTGAGAAATAATTTCTTCAGGGATGAATTACTACGCGCGTTCTACTGCCCTTTAAGTGCAACAATGTCCCATTATTAACAATAATAATAACAAATAACAATAATGACCTCTACCAACAAAATATCGATTCCGTGAAACTTTTATCTAGACAAACAGAAGGACACTTTCATCTGTCAAGTGATAACACGTGCTAGCAAATGACTCAGCTATCAGTGGAATCAGGTATTGGCAATTTAAAAACAAAAGAAAAAGATAACTTCTAAAAACACTTACAATCAAATAATTACACAAGTTTACGTCTTGAAGTATTTTGGGAAAGAGTTATTTAACTATGAGGCTCTTAACTAATCATCCTCAAGGGGAATAACCGATGCCGATAAGACTTATCCCGTTATAAGGAAATGAGTGGATATTGATATATAACCATAAGTGTTTAGTGATTGTAGCTTTCACACCATGTTTTCATAGTAGTAAATTATGTGTTTGGATACATCGTTCAAACCCTAAATACTAAATAGAGGGACGAGTACGCAATTAACTGGGGTACGTATGCATCTACTTATTCTCTTACATTAAAAGGAACATGGTTTTAATTGAAAAGGGTAATAGACTCGATTTTTCAACTTTTCTACTGAAAATACTCGCATCCGCATTCAGAGGCAATCCAAACCAACAATACAAACGCTACGCTAATTAATAAGGTACAACCAAAACAACCATGATAATTTTATATTTTATTTCATCAATAAAATTCACTATTTTTAGCTAATAATATATTTTATTTAATAATATTAAATATAAACTCAATGTATAGGGCACGATCTCCAATAACAAAATAAAGAAGGACTACACAATCGTCTAAGCCCTGATGCTAGCCGTTGGCTATTTGATAGCACAATCGAGTTGATGTTAGTATACTCTGGATGCCAGGCGAACGGTCGTTAAAAATTATACTTTGATGTAAATGAGCAAGTGTGAAACTGCAATAGTGTTTAAACACTAAACTGTTCACAATT